CCTACATAGGACTGCAGGTTAAACACGGCTGGTTCAGTCATAACTGGTGGCTTATTAATTTTTTTTTTAATTTAGGTTTTTACGCGGTATCTTGAATCTACCCTGTTAGTTTGCCATCTGTGAATCTGTATCTCACAGTAGCAAACTTTAGGTAGAGCTCCGGGGGATAATCCGAAGAACTGAAAGTCTTTGATTAGAATAGGCCCCTGGCGGAAGGTATAAATAACATGAGAACCCAAGAAGACCCAGACTGGGAATTAGTAGGTAAATTTAGTCAACCAACTGGATCAATCAAAGATAGTCAATGAAAGGTACTTACCAACACTAAAGATCCAATGGACGGACAGGCTGAATACTTTGAAATACTTTGAAATACTTCTAATAGATAGTCCTAGAGTTTCCTCCAGATATACAGCCTTCAGAAATATAACCAGGTATCAAATGGTAAATACCATCTAAAGAGGAAATTATAAAAGTTATTAATCTTCCGAAGGAAGGAAAGGCGGTAGGTCCAGGTGGTATCCCAGCAGAAGTTATTAAGGCCAGTGTAAACACATCAATGTAATTGCTACACAAATTATTTAGTAAAGTCTGGGAGACCAGAGAAATACTTGCAGACCTGAGAGAAGGAAATCTTGTAAAACCGCCCCCCCCCCCCCAAGAACCACTCCCCCCCCCCTCCAAAAAAAAAAAAAAGATAATCTATAGGAGAGTGAAAACTATAGAGGAATTGTATTGCTGTCAGTTCCTGGAAACATATTAAGTAGAATTATTTTAGAAACACTAAAAGATGATATCGATAAAAAGCTAACAGATGAACATGCAGGTTTTCGGCCAAACAGATCCTGTACTGACCAGATATCCACATTATTAGGTATAGTAATAGAGCAAAGCATTGAATTAAATTCACCACTTTACATTGAATTCATAGACTATGAAGACGCTTTTGACAGCATTGAAACCTCTCTGAAAATAATGGGGCCCTATGGAATCCAGCAGAAAATTATTAACTTAGTAAAGGGAAACCTGAAAGATACATTTAAAATTACAAAATAAAATAAAAAATGGTGTGTGACAGGGATATCTTTAGTCGCCTCTTCTATTTTTACTGGCAATAGACTGGATTATAAAGACAGCAACTGCTAACACCAAGAATTGGAATTCAGTGGACTCCTACAAAACAGCTTGATGATCTGGACTTTGCTGACGATATTTCTTTTCTGTCCCATTCACGGAATCAGATGCAAGATAAATTCAATATAGCTGATGCGAGATCATAACAGCTAGGTCTGACAATTAATAAAGAAAAGACAATGATGAGATTAAATCAGGCAAATAGTAATGCCGTTTCTTTTAATGGTATCCCACTCCAAGAGGTGGAGTCGTACACTCATCTAGACAGTAATGTAGATAAAGATGGGGGAACTGATAGAGATATCAAAATAAGAATACAAAAGGCTAGAAGAGCTTTCATAGCACAAGGGAATTTGTGGAGGTCAAACGAAACAAAACGAACACTAAACTTACAACTGTTTGTTCTATAAAGTCAAATCAGCACTGTTGTATTTAGATTGAAATATGAAGAACAAATACGGCAATTAAAAGGGAGGTTTAAAAAAATTAAAATTAGATTTACTGAAAAATAATAACAATATTCCACCCCCCCCCCAATCCCACCCCACCCACGTTTGTCTTTTTTTTTAAATCACTAGAGTTGAAATTGAAAAGGATATTATGCGTTCAAAAACTGCTACTACCGCACCAATGAATTAAACTCCATCAGGCAAACACAGGTAAAGCTTCACGAGTAACACCAACAGAGACCATAATAACCAACTTGCTAGAAGCCATGATGGGAAAACACAGAACGGCCTCAGAACAACTGAAAATAGTCATTTAGTCAGCAAGATTCAACTAAACCGCGACACAATCATAGAATTCTCAAACAAGATCACAACCTCTGCCAGTCTGTACCAGTGTGAAAGGAAGTGGGTCATAAAGCAAATGAAACCACGACTCACGAACAAACAGTTCTTGGGGCAGCTACAGCGCGAAAACCCTAGATTTTTTTTCTCCAAACAGCAGCGCGGCTGTGTGGCTGTAGCTGTCACGAAGACATCATCCTGTTCAAAACAGACAGCTGAAGACAGAAAACTATATTTCCAAGTTGCTGCACGATATCAGAAGGTTTATCACATCAGTGACACGTGTCAGAGCAAGTCAAAAGTTTGCAGAGGCTGTACTCCTTCAACGAGTGTCCATTAGCCAAAACTGACAAAACTTTCGCACAACCTAACTAAAAATGTGGTAGTTAAAGGGAGTGGAAAGGGGGGGGGGGGGGGGGGGGGGGGGGAAGGAGCCCTCCACCCTATGTTTTCTCGTGTTTTTTTTTGCGCCTCTGTTACTGCAGTAAAGCATTAAAACAGTAAGCAAACTACTTTTCTTCTTCTGCTTTCATTCGAGTGAAATAGATTATCTATATCTGTAGTTTTGTCTCTAGTATGAACTTCACTTTCTTATGTAGTTCACTCAGCGACCAGTTAGGTTTAGCTCGCACCGGTGTTTCTTAGGCCAAACAATTTGCCCTGATATGGTGCTTCTTGGACAGTCTTGGAGGACGTGATCTGTTGTCTCAGGTGCCAATCCACATGTGCACATAGCTAATTCGCCAATTTTAAATTGTGTGTACATGTGGCTGCGAAGTCGATTGTGTCCTGTTCTAAGGCGTAGAATAATAACTTGCTCTGGTCTGTCCATAATATGGTAATTGTACCGGTTTTGGTGGCTTTCTGATTGATTTGGTTATTCTCTACTTCTGTTAATAAGAGACTGGTACGTCAGGTTGTTCTTCAGTTGCACCTTCCTCGGATAGTTTAGCCTCCGACTTCAGCACTTAATTTTTATTATTTTGGTGATGTAGATCGACGCACGGGCATATGGGACCCAACTGTCCACCCAGACATTTGTGTACGCCTGTAGACAACAGAATACTGACTATTTCGTTGCCTAGTCTACAGTTATTGTTACACTTCTAAAAATAGTATCAGCAGTGTTCATTTTTTAAATCTATAAGTTCAGGACTGAATTATGTTTCTTGTTCGGTATAAGAAGAAGGAGCATGTCCTCATATTTTATTTTGATATTTCCCCATGCTTCATTATTTTCTCAGCATGCTTTGTAAGTCTCTCTACCTCCATTCTCAAACTAGTTGTAGGCGGGAGATTGATTTATAAAGAGAGAGGAGGAGAACAATAGGAAGGAGAAGGAAGAGGATGCGGAGGAAAAAATAGGCAACATAACAAGGTGTAAAGTTAGAAAAACCGACAGTGACAATTCTGACAGCGTGGAAAATATAGAAGGAAGACGGCGAAGAATGTATGAGGCGAGGACCAGTGAAGTGAAAATTAAAAGAATTAAACATTCGATAGAAAATAGTAACGAATGTTTATAAAAAAAAAAAAAATTCAGACTGGACAACAATCCGGACCAGTGTTGCCACTTTGGATCTTTTATATCCAAATTTAGATCTTTTTCATTGCATTTAGATGCTGTTTTTGACGTTTAGATCGTAAATATTTTTCTAGATACTTTTCATATTAAGTTGGATATTTTATAGATTATTTTTCTTTCATTGTCAATTTAATAATTACTGTGTAAAATATTTACTACAATATTTTTGTTTTGGTCTGGCACGTACATTGTGACAACTGCCATTACTTGAACTTTGAACTCTCACTGGGGTCAACGCACAAATATCTGGCAGCCCCGGTACTGATTAATAAAAACTAGCGTAAATCATACTAACTTTGTTTCAACCGTATCCTCACTGGGCTGACTTTGCGTTTCTTTTTCATGTGATTTAAAAAAAATAATTGCTCATCTTCTTATGTGGCTTTTACTTTGAAAAAATCTTTCAACATGCAAAAAGTAAAGTATGAGCAAAAAATTTGGAAAGAGGGGTTGCATGATGACAAAATTAAAAAATGGGGATATGACCAAAGCTTGTTGTAAGTACTGCAAGTGTGAAATAAAAGCGAAAATACAAAACTCAAAGAGTCATGCAGAGACTAAAAAAGCATAAAACTGCAGTTTCATTTGAAGATATTACACCGCTGACATCTGTTTTCAGAACTATACTGATAAATGAATCATCAAAAGTTGAAGTATCAGTCGCAATGTTTTTAATTTGTCACTGCGCAATTTCAAACTGTGACCATTTGATCGATTTGTAAAAAATCTTGGACTAGTTCAATTTGAAAAGTGTGATGTAGAAAGTATAGTTTAGGAACTGAAGGACCTTTTAATCAGCAAACAGTTAGGCTTGAAGAATTTGGCTGTAATTGGTACTGATAATGCCTCAGCGACTGAAGTGAGACAATTTAAAGATGCCACATCAAATAGTCCATTCTGTAAGCTCTTTAAAGTGCCATGTCTGCCATGATACTACCCCACTCAAATGCTGACGTAGAAAGAGTTTTCAGTGCTAGGAATTATATCAAATCTAACCTAAAAAAAAAAACAGGGTGAAATTTGACCTCTTAAATGCTATCGTGCCATTAAAATTCGGCCTGATGAGACTAGAGAAATAAGCCTACTGTTCCACTTATAAAGAAATTTGAACAGCTAAAGCAAACCAGGGTCATTTTGGATCTGAAACTTCAACTTCATTATCCAAGCTACGTTTATCCTGTGGATCTTGTGATGCAGACATCAGTGAAGGTGAGGACATGATTATGTAGGGTAAGTCATAACAAAAGCTATGTAAGTTTTGACTTTTTCAATTTGGATGTTTTTTCTAGATCTTTTCCACGCAGATTTAGATCTTTTAAGATATATTTTGACACCGTTTTGGATATTTTTTGTCAAAGAAAAGTGGCAACACTGATCCGGACTCGAAGCTAAACAATTTTATGGCGGGATTTGAACTGGTCTCCCATATTACATTAATAAACGTGGATATAAAGTTCAGCAGACTAGCGATGTCATATTCTTACCAGAATATGGTGTTATCAGCAAAGGATGCAGCCTACCTTATTGCTAAAAGGTTAGGGATTCTTCTTTTAATAAAAAAAGTGACATAGGATTAGTATCACATACTGTGGGCGTTGCCGGCCGTTGGCATTCTAAACTAATTTAAAATTTATTCTAACATTCTTGATTCTTCCACGGCTTCTTCTCAAACTAATCAAACTTATAAATCTAGCACAGCTAATAGACACTCAAGAAAATCTCTTGTGATGTTACAAAAGAAAACGGGATATTTATTACCGTTTATAATCAAATTAAGTAATCTAATTATGTAATTATTGTTAAATAGGTGACACAAGTAAACTGAAAACAAAAAGTTGATCAATATTTTGGCCGAAATTTAACAGAAAAACACAGAGCCGTAATTAAACAAACAGACAATTTAAGGCCAGAGAGATATAGAAATATGAATGAAAATTTTGCTAATTTTTCGTCACGAAATGCAACAGCTCAGCACACAAGATCGTGAAACGTGAAGCAGGATGGATAGCCAGTGTCAGTCAGCAGGGGACTTGATAAGAAAAGTGAACACTTTTCTGGAATACCCTCACTCCTGTGAGACACTTTTTAAAATGTGTCTGCACAGTTCCTTACAAAGTTGACTTCATTTGACCTGTTTTACCTTCTTTAGGGCTTCAGGCATCAACATTTCTGCTAATATAGAAAGACACTGCTTATCTGTTATGTTGATGACAATAGTAACTTGCTTCACTATAATGAGCTAAAAAGTCAGTTTTATTTTTGTGATACAGCTAACAGCTATGAGACGAAGGAAAGAAGCTGATTTTCTTGGGGACAAAACTACCCTAGGAAAAGAAGAAACAAAGAATCAGGCTGATAAACTGAATGTCCTACATCATCATTGGCACCTTTCTGTCTTTCCAGACGATAGTGTTATATTGCGCTATGAGGAGGCATGAGACTCGCAGCCCATGGCGAAGGTGAGTGTGACTAGCAAGACCCGCCCGTGTCAAGAAAAGTCTTCCACAATGATAGCATGGGATTTCAGGACCATTGTTAATAACATTTGTGTTTAATCCGTTTCTTTTCAGACGCTCAGCTCTCATTCTTTCTGCAATCATTTCTTCCTTCAGTCTCATTCCCTTCCTGATATGCCCTTTCCACACAACACGGTCCATGGCATTTCGTTCCCATGAGTCCGCCTCAGTACCTGTACAAAGCCTGGGCAGTATTGTAGAGACAATATGTTGCCCATGCATAATGATCACTTCCTCGACCTGCCTTGTTTACTCCACAGGAAAGGTAAAACCAGTATGTTTGGAATGAGGCATGTTGCAGAAGCTATCTGTCCGCCTGTCAGAGCTTCCCTCCTAGACCAGCTGCCAGCCAAGGCGAAGGGCCTGGTCTGCTCTGCCATAACACAAAGTTTTCAGGTTGCATTTCCTTTTCTTAGGATACAGCTAGTATCCTCCCCAATGAGAACCTCCGCCCGAAGCCGTTGGCACAACACAATATGGGATGTTGGATTAGTATATGCCACCCAACATTCGGCGTAACAGAAGACAGGTGGTACCGGCTACTGTTATACGGTAGCTCAGTCATATCTGACCAAAACCTGACCCAGAATGTCCTACAAGAAGTAAAACAATTATATGAATCAAGTGATAGCTTTGAATCTCCAGCCATAACCAGACTTCGGGAGCAGCAAGTCGAATGTGATGAGGACAGAAAAGACTGCTATCCAAGATGCCGATGAGGAATAGTACATCAACATAGAACTAGCATCACCAGCAGGTACACATTGAGGGATATACTTGGTAGAGGATCCGAGCACTTATGGATTAAATGATTCAGTGTGCACTGAGAATGATCTGCTGACTAATTTGTTTGTATTCTTGTCCTTCCGCATTCACTTAAAAAAAAATTATTTGCATGGTTGGTTGTGGTTTACAGCTAGGCTGCAATATCTAAAAGTGAATCTATTCAGTTTGGTCTTGTTCTTCTTCTGCATTCACTTTTAAAAACATTGTTGGCATGTTGTGTTGTGGCTTACAGCTAGGCTGCAATATCTGAAAGTGAATCTAGTCATTTACACCCCCCTTCCCACCCCCAAATAGGGCCCTGAAGCCTAAACAGAGAAATTGTTTGTTATTAATGCCATGTGGTCTTGAGAGTATCTTGTGTCATTCTTATAGACAATTAAGAATTTCAGTGCTTCAGTTTATACAGCTTTAGTTCATTTGTTCCAGGGAACACCTTGGAAAACTGGTTTTGTCAGTCAAAGGAACTGTTACAGCACTGAGTGACGTGACAAGGTAAACATTGGTGATGTGACATGGTAAACATTTGCCAACATAAGTGATGACTTTCTGGGGGTTTTTGGGGGGAGGGAGGGGGGGGGGGCAACTTAAGGCATGGCAAGTTAGACGTAGTGAAAGCCCTTAGGGAACCAGTTAACAATGCATAAGTGTAAATAGATCATTACGGGAGGGAGGGGGGGGGGTGTTACCACGGCTTGTGACCACCGTAACCATCAGAAGAAAGGCAAGATGGGCTTGCAATAAAAATGGTACCATAAGCAAGCATTCAAACTGTTTGCTGATGTAGATGAGGACAGAACACATGCAGGAATGTCTTGAGTGCTGTGATAGAATTCCTATCTGAACTCGAACTCATATGTGCTCTGCAAAAAACAAAAATAAAAAAGCGCTTTAATTCCACCTCCATCAGCATTCGGATAACAACATACATTTGTTACTTATCGGATGAAATGTATCCACTGTGTGTGTGTGTACACATTTGAAAGAATACATTTAATTCCATGATTCATCTGTGGCTTAGATATTATTGATTGCCTTTAACAATTTCATGAGTCTTGAATACTTGGGTTTGATTTCTTCAAAGAATGGTTATGAGAGTCACACTGTTGAAGAGATTAAGGCCTCACAACATAACATTCTCAAATACAGCACTGGGTAGCCTGGAGCTGACCTTCATTTTAGTGGGTAGGCTGTAGCTAACCTTCATTTTAGTGGGTAGCCTGTAGCTAACCTTCATTTTAGTGGGTAGCCTGTAGCTAACCTTCATTTTAGTGGGTAGCCTGTAGCTAACCTTCATTTTAGTGGGTAGCCTGTAGCTAACCTTCATTTTAGTGGGTAGCCTGTAGCTAACCTTCATTTTTAGTGGGTAGCCTGTAACTAACCTTCATTTTAGTGGGTAGCCTGTAGCTAACCTTCATTTTTAGTGGGTAGCCTGTAGCTAACCTTCGTTTTAGTGGGTAGCCTGTAGCTAACCTTCATTTTTAGTGGGTAGCCTGTAGCTAACCTTCATTTTAGTGGGTAGCCTGTAGCTAACCTTTTTTTTAGTGGGTAGCCTGTAGCTAACCTTCATTTTAGTGGGTAGCCTGTAGCTAACCTTCATTTTAGTGGGTAGCCTGTAGCTAACCTTCATTATAGTGGGTAGCCTGTAGCTAACCTTCAATTTAGTGGGTAGCCTGTAGCTAACCTTTATTATAGAAACGGCACTCGTGGCATGGTGATATCAATCAAAGGTGCGTGGGAAGGTTAAGGCCGTTGTGATGTGTGTAAGAAGTTACTCCGTATCTCACCTCGTGCGCCAGCCGGTTCTTGAATAGTTTTACGGATCTTCACGTAAAACTCCTGCTACACATCCACGTTGTGCTTACCTTTGCGATATTAATCCGAGTTGGCAGGGGATCTCAGAGCTGGTGGCCTTAGAGATGTTGTGTCCAGCCTGGCTCACATCAGCCGTCCCCCAACGCCTGGGTGAGAACGTTTATAAAAACTCTTCTGAAAATACTACTCCATGACAACCCTTCGTTAAAAAGTCTGTTGAGTTAGAAGTACGACTGAACAGCTGAGATTCAGCTAAAAAAACAAGAGAATTGCTCACAGCCTAGACGAATAATATCTCTTGCGGGCGGTAACTCGTGGAACAGTTTTGTCTCCGAACATCCCTTGTTATTCCCCAACGTGGTGGTCACCACATTGTTGAACATCCCTTCCCTAACGTGGTGGTCACCACATTGGGGTACACCGCGACAAACTGTCAGTATGCTGGCTTGGAAAAAAATGTCAGTGCAATACATCTCCTATGGCATAGAAACAAAGCCCGGAATGTTCTACTGAAAAAATGCCCTACTAATTGGCAGGAAGGCTCACATGCTTGTTAACATTGGCCCCACTTACCAGAGTGTGGGACCTTACAGGGGGAGCCATGCTGGATGCAAGCTTTTGCCGTACTGTCTTGCTAAGTTTCCAAATGAAATAACTTCAAAGGTGTCTAACGTGTCAGAGAAAATGTAACTATCTGTGTAGCCATTGATGTTCCAGCCCTGCGGGCTGCAGCCTGATGATCTCCCATGGGTGCAGCTCGTGACGTTCGGAACGCTCAACATACGGATGTAGGATTAAGCAGACATGTGCAGGATGTGATGATTCCTTGGGTGAGCTCAGGACCAGAGCGTCATGTGTCAGCTCTGCATTTATGGAAGCCTCCTTGAATGGCAGAGAATGCCCATGATCTGCCCCTGCCTTCTCTTGTGGGCAGACCTGTCTATGCGTGGATGCCCTGGACGGGGTCTTCAGAGGCAAGAAATGTACATTTGATCTGATTTGATTCAAGAACCGACATCACAGCATTCATTGCATTACCATAAGCGCTCCGTCCCCATCTTCAGCAGCCAGCGAAGAGTTCCGATACTAATGGTGCCAGTAGCATTTTAATTAAATGTCCGTCTTGCCCTTCCTCTGAGCCTCGAGCATCTGCCAGAACCTCTTGTCACTTTCTGCTGCATCAATCTCACCAGACTGTGGTGATCCATCTGCTCCTCCGAACTGTAAACGCTCTCCCACAAGGCACTAACCACGCCTGTCTTATCATGTATCAGTATTCCACTAAGTTGTGCAGAGCCAGCCAGTCTGTCCACCTGTTCATTTCCCAACACACCGGCGTATCCGGGTGAAAAAATCCAGACAATACTCCTCACTCGTGTCCTCCGCAGCGAAGCATGCCACTCTGTAAGAAGCATACCTGTTCTGATCTTCCTCAGCATGTAGAAATGTAGAAAAGGGGACAAAGAAAACACCACTCAAATAAGGCCGGAACATGTTCCTGTCTCACAGAACAATCCGGGAAGTTAACCCGGTCAACAAATGCTTAATAAAGTCTGATGTATTGGCCGAAAGGCGCAAATATCGCAGCTCTGCTGTAAACAGGCATAACGCATTTACGTCACTCAGATGAACGACAAAAAATAAAAATAGAACAAGACAAAATGGCACAGTTTAAGCTGATATGCTTCTGAAGATGATTTTTGCCTATATTTTTCAACTGTTATTTATTTTTTGCAGAGCTGGCAAGAATCAGATGGTTTTGGTAGAAGTGGATAAATGCATTATTCTTGTTATTAAGGTAAATTGTTTTGTATCTGGCTTAATGTGATAAAAGTAACAATAATTTACAATATGTTAATGCTATAAGTCAGCGTCTGTGGCTCAGGTGTTGCGAACGCGTTTGTAGTGCAGTGGTAATTTTAAACAAAAGTTCATTAATGTAGATGATATTGATGCTGCAAAAGCTGTAACATTTACATATATCCCATTAGTGATTTAAAAAAAAAAGTACATTAATGTAGATGACATTTGTGCTGTAGAAGCTATTATCATTATCATCATGTGCCCTGCCAACTGGGGTAGGCGATCATGCATCTCTACATATCACGATCCATGGTTGCCTGGAACAACTGTCTTGTTGATATCCCTCCATGCCATGGTTTCAGCCCATCCAGCATCATCTCTCTTGGTCTGCCTCTACCCCTTTTTCCACTGATCTTTCCAGTTGTCACAAAGTTTTCCAATGTCTCTCTTCTCATTATGTGGCCAAAGAACATTGTCTCTTTCAAGCAATCGTTGTTAGTTACTCTGGCCATCCAAGGTATTCGTAACATTTGTCTCAGAAACCACATCTCTGTTGCTTCCAAATTCTTTGTTTACTGACATTCCAAGATTCGCTGCCATACAGTAGAACAGGTTCCATGTAACATTTTAGCACCCTCTTTCTGATGTTAAATGTGAGCAATTTATTGCATAAAATATTTTTCATTTTATAGAAGCTATAACATTTATATAAATCCCATTAGTGATAAAAAAAAAAGTACATTATTGTAGATGACATTGGTGCTGTAGAAGCCAAAACATTTACATATATCCCATTAGTGATTAAAAAAAAAAGTACGGTAATGTAGATGACATTGGTGCTGTAAAAGCTATAATTTCTACATATATCCCATTAATGATTAAAAAAAAGTATAATGTAGATGCTTGTAATCTTGGCATATCAGTCTAAGCCATTCGTGCTTCATCCTCCGATGTAGCAGCCATCTCAGTGGCTACATGCTCACCGTACCCAGTAGGAGTTGATTGGCTTGTTGGTGATTTTTCTTTGCCCCACAGCCGGTTTTTGCATACCTGCCCTCATTCAAAACCCATTTCCTCCAGGCGATTCATCATCTGCGACTCCTTTGTCTCAACGTCTCTGGATCGCAGCACATTCATTACATCTGCCCTGTCCATACTACTTCCTTCACTAACTGTTGCAGCCATGGCCAGTCTGTCAGCTGTTTCATTTCCTTTCATGTAGATGCTTTAAATGCAATAATGAACAGTCAGATATATAATTACCCTGAGTCTTATTCTAGAAGCAATAACCCCGCATCCTGAATTTTATTGATTTCAAGAAGGCATTTGACAGCTTACATCGAATTTCACTGAGGTGAATTTTGGAATGCTATGGCATGCAAGCTGAAATAACATGCATTATTAGAAATTTATAAAATTGTTCAGAATGTACAGTGCGTACTAAAAATGGTTTAAGTGACTGGTTTTTTTTCTGGAAACTAGAGTGAGATGAGGCTGCCTTCTATCTCCCTTGTTGTTTGGAGTAGCCACTGATTGGGTAATGAAAAAATATTGCAAAGTGATACTCGCATTGATTGGGTAGAGAATAGACAACTGGTAGGTTTGGATTTCATAGATGATATTGTTATGTTAACTAAAAATATCAAAGACGTGCAAAGAAAAACAGATGGTTTGTTGTCTGCAGCATCAAAAATAGGACTACAAATAAGTTATGAGAATAAAAAGGAGCAGCCAATGGTGAACAGCTCAGTAAATGGAGAGATGAAGCAAGCAACACAATTCTCCTATCTTGGATATGTAATAATAGCTGACAGCTAAAATGAAAAAGAAATGAAAGAGGGAATAACAATTGCTAAAAATATCCTCAGTAAGACTGGCAAATGATTGACATCTGTAGAGATAAATAAAACATTAAAAGTAATAATTGTCAGATATGTATATATTTAACACTATAGTGTGGTGGAGAAACATGAAAATGAGCAGGGAACTTTAAAATTTAATTAAGTCCAGAGATGTGGATATACCAAAGAATATGTTGTATGTATTTCATGGAATTAAAAACAGTCAAATACGCAGGTTCTGGAGAGTGACAATGAAAAGTGAGTTACTGGAAGAACAGTTAAAGGCAGGCGAGCAAGAGATAAGTAGCAATAATATTGGGACCACATATTTAGGAGGTGGACAACAACAGTCTGAGAGAGTGGACAAGTAAAGAGAGAGGATAGAGCTTGTTGGAGATACATTCCAGCCATCCATTACTGTGGAGACAGCACCTGTTCCTGCGCCAGATTGACTGACTGATCCATGTGATGAAAAATGACATTGTAGATTCCACCAACGCTGTTGGAAAGATAACATTAATGACAATGATATTAAACACCAGGACAACCCAGGGTTCTCTGTCATTTGACAGTTTGTGATCGATAGAGGACTGGAATGGAACAAATCCAACAAGAAAACTGCCGAATGAGAATTCTGGAGATTTCTCTGGCATACCTCTACAACCCAGGATAAAAGAGGACTGAATAAAAAAATTACCCACCTGGGCTCGGGGGCCCCATTGTGGGGGAAACAAGAATAGACCCACTGCCTGCCCAAAAGAATGTGTAAGCGTTGACTAAGTGGGAGCTTTCTTTCAAGTTGGAGTACATCTGTCTGAGAGGCAAGGAACCAACAGTTTGCATGCAAATAAGTCAGACCTTTGAAATAGATGTGCATGTAACAGTCAGTTTCTGGAACAGGACTAGAGTCTAGAAGTGGACAAACAACCAGAACTGTCCGTTGGAGTTTACAGCCAGTGAACATGAAGAAGAAGAATAAGTAAATTAAAGTAATGATGGTATCAAAGTTGTAAGAAAGATAACATAAATGTAAATTTAATCATTGCTATAGGAATGAATGCATTAATCTATTTCACCATGAATGCTGTAAAATTGCTACATTAATCTATTTATTCTGTACCAATCTTTCTAGAATGGCAACATTTATGCACTTCTAATGTGTAACTAATTGTTCATGCTCTTTTGTTTTCTGCTCCCCAGGACCTCCACCTGGGATGGCATTCAGTACTTGAAGTCGGAGATGTGTTTCTCTTCCAAAATCTCAGGTTGACAACACTTGAAAAGGTGCTTACAGTAATTTGTCTGGGCAAAATTAAATAACATTTTTATCAGAGACTACTTGAAATATGGTCAGATAAACTGTTTAAAATGATGTTTATAAAAAATGTACTAGGTTTTATCCCAAAAAGTTCTGTGCCTCCGTAGATCATCTCATCACCTGCAAAAGTGTTGTACAAAGCATACAATTAATAGCTCTGACAAAAACCTTCCAGGGATCTGCAAAACACCTGCACGTATAAACTGTGAGACAGTGTCCAAAATCAAACTTGTAACCTTCCGAGCACGATGCAAATAACTTGAACCTTTTGCCCTTAGGAGCTGCAAACCTGGCACTTTTTGTGGGGTCCGATTGCCTGTAAATGCAACTCTTCCTGCTTGTCTGCAGTGGCGTGTTTACAAAACTTGTTAAGCTCATTCATTCTTTTTTCGCCTGCACAGCATTTACTAGGTCAGAATATGACTATATTGATTAAAAATAGCATTTAGAGGGTTTTTCCATGTTGACAGCATGGCTGTTTAAAAGTATATCATTTTATAGGCCTCAGCGTAGGGGTCACGCCATGAATCACTCTACATAATTTTTGTTACGTTTGAAAGAATTTTTCTTACTGTCCAGAATGTATCAGTTGATACAGGCCCAGTCCTCACAAGATGGAACTACAAGAAAGTCAACTTGGGTCTGTACAGACACAGGACAAGCACATTGTTGTCTGCTCTCAAGGTACAAAACAGGGACATCACTGCTATAGTACAAGACTTTAGTGGAAGTATTCTTCAAGCGGCAGAAGAAGCAACCCCTAGAGGTTGTCGACACAACTACAGACCGTACTGATCCAGCACACTCCAGAAATATCAGCCTAGAAAGGATGCAGAATACCAACCTTCACCTGACAACCACACCAAATGGAAAAAGGCTGTAGCAGTGTTCCAGAGAACTAAACTTGAAGAAAAATGGAAAAGCTGGAGAGAAAAAAAAAACCAGCAGCTCTAAACCCTGAGAAAGATGGCAAGAAACTCTGGAGATTAGCTAAGTCACTAAATGAAGAAAGTTTTTCTTCTAGACAAACAATCACACTAAGAGAAGGTGACAACATTTTCAGAGGAAAACAAACTGCAGATTTGTTTGCCAGAACATACAGTGTTGAAAGCAACCTGACCCTTAATGAGGACCATCAGAGAGAAATAAGGAAAGAAATACAAACAAATAAGAGACAGACAGAAACTCCTGCCCCTTTGATGGAGCCCTGCACCATGGGTGAGTTTCAGAATGCCATTTCCAGGCTTAAGTTAAAAAAAAGTCTGCAGGTTCAGATGAAATCAGCAATGAAATGCTGATCAACCTGAGCTCATCTGCTAAAGTAAAGCTGCTAGAAATTTTGAACATTAGTTGAGAGAAAGGATTGATGCCTCATGTATGGAGAAAAGCCATCACAATAACCATACTAAAAAAAAAAAAAAAAAAGGAAAGATTAAGACCCAGGCTTCATATTATTGAACTGTCAGTCTGACAAGCTGTGTAGGAAAGACATTGGAGAGAATTATCAATTCAAGACTGAACTGGCATAGAATCTGAGCAGATCTTGGTGTCAGAGCAGGCTGGATTTAGGGAATGTCACAGCATAGAAGACCAAGTCACCTACCTGTCACAAGCTGTAGAGGATGCCTTCCAAGAAAAGAAAAACGTCCTGGCGGTGTGAATTGACTTCAAACATGCTTTTGACAAAGTGTGGAAAGATGGTCTCATTGCAAAACTGAAGAGAAATGGAATCCAAGTAAATATACTAAGATGGATCTAATCCTTCTTATACAACAGGAGAACTAGAGCCACTCTTGATGGCCAGCAGAGCAGAAACGTATTGGAGCACGACCGGCTCCAGCTGACGGGCCGTGCTGCTGACCTCACCGGGTCGGGCTAACGATGCATTAACGCAGCGTTTCTCAAACTGGGTACCGAGGCACCCTGTGATGCCATGAGCGTATGTCAGGGGTGCCGCGGCAATAATCAAGAAAAGTCGGCTAAAAATTGTGAAATTATTAAAGAAAGCATGAAGGTACCTAAAAGTTAAAATTTAAGTTGTCTTCCCTCGCCACTATAGAAAATAGTTTATTTCTTGTTTAAGAACCGCTGCATTAATGTATCGTTAGCCCCACCAAGTGACGTCAGCAGCACGGCCCGTCAGCTGGAGCCGGTCGTGATTGGAGTACCACAGGAAGGAGTTAACTCTCCAACACCCTTTTTTGTTTATATTAATGACCTGGTGAAAAGCTTCTTCTTCTTCTTCTTCTGCGTTCGACATCAGTCATGCTAAACATTGAGTCCCGTCTGGGTCACAAATAGGATTGTGCGTTTAAGGTCGCCACTGGTCCCCCATAGCTTCTCTTGCAATGTGGCTCCCTTGGGCCAGATCCAGTCTTTGCTGGAAGAGGTAATAGCAGTACTGTAGTATGTGCCCAGGGGTCTGTCTTTCTGCTCCACAATCACAGGCAGCAGATTCTTTTATGCCTATCCTGTACAGGTGTGCTCGAAGACCACAATGTCCAGTCTGAAGTCTAAAAATTGATGTTTGTTCTTTCCTGTTGAGTTTGTTTATGCTGTCACTCTCTGGTCTGTAATCTCCATTCTGCCTTCTTCATTCTGCCTTCTCCACTCCCGCTTGAAAGACTGCTTTAGCGCTGTTTTGGTTTCCGTGTAGCTGTGTGGTGGATGAGGTTGTGGAAGATTACTCCCAGCTTTTGCCAACTCATCTGCTCTCTCATTTCCTTGAAATGAAAGACTGTCATACAGGTGTGAAGGCTGCCCTGTATTTGGATGATTTGGCACTCTGGGGTACTGATGCTCAAACACTACAGGGGCAAATCTAAGAATGCAGCAAGCTCTTAATGACATGGGCCGAAAGGGGGCATGTTGTGATCAACACAGATAAAACATCCACAATGCTTTTGTCTCTTTCCCCCAGGGACAGAGCTACTAGTATTCACATAGGAACATCCTTGCTAAAGGAAGAAAGCTTTCTCACTTATCTTGGAGTGACATTTGATAAACGGCTCATGTGGAGCAAACATATAGAAAATGTAGAAGGGAAGGCCAGCAGAGGACTAGGGCTACTTAGAAAACTGGCAGGTACAAGTTGGGGAGTGAATGTAAACACTCTAAAGAAAGTTAATGGAGCGATAAGATCCCACTTGGAGTTTGGTGCAGCAGCTTGGTCATCAGCTGCTAATTCCCATCTACAATCATTAGACAGAGTGCAAAATCAAGCCCTTGGCTGAGACTCATCACAGGATCCATGAAAACTGCACCAATCCTGAAGATGCAGAAAATAACTGCAATGCAGACACTGTCCTATAGAAGAGACACTAAAACTATGATCCAGATGGAGAGGTTTAATAGTATGCGGTCACGCCCAATGATTTCATGATTGGATGATCTGGCATTGGGGCGTCTCAAACGTACAAGCTTTGTTTATCGGAGGAAAAGACTTAGAAGACAGTATCAAGCAGAACTACCCATGAGAACAACACAGCTGAAACCTACCCTATACCCTGTACCTTGGGAGCAAGTCAGTGATACAATACAGATAATGACTTCAGTCAATGGACTCACAGCTGGAGATGAGTCCAGTGACATTCAAAAACAAACAGCTGCTCTTAGCGTGGTTCAAAAAAAGTATCCTAAATAGTCGTGGATACATGCTTACACATATCGATCAGCAACCAGTGTAGTTAAAAATGGGGGTGCTGACATCTTTGTCTCATACCTAGACAACTATCGCCACATAAAGTATATACCCACTGGTAAGTTCTGTTCCAACTACACAGCAGAGATCTTAGCACTAGAGCAGGCTGTCGAAATGTTACACAACACCAGTTCTGACTGCCACCAAGTGGTCATCTTTACAGATGCCCTATTGGTGCTTCAAGCACTCAAGAGTGGCAAACTCACTCACCTTAAGTCTTAACTTGACAAGGTGGCTGCCCAAAAGTGTACAGTACTACAGTGGGTGCCATCGTACTGTGGTATACCAGAAAACAAAACCGTAGATAAACTAGCTAGAAAAAGAGACAGAATGTGAGCAGGAAGAGAATGCAGTAACATACTATAAGAAGAAAAGGGCCATCCAGTCTATCAGAAGTGAACAGAGTCTGGCCAGAGATGACTATCACTTACTTGATTGGCATGGGCAGGTCATTATTCTACATATCAGGACAAGGCATAACAAAATTAACCAGCATATGCACAGACTTCGTTTAAGTAGTTCACCTTTCTTCACTTGTGGGCTGTGTGTGCAGACTACAGAACATGTCCTACAAGAATGTCTCTTGTACAGCCCATTAAGAAGAGAATACTGGCCCACTGAGTCAACACTGCACTCAAAGCTGTATGGAACTAAAAGGGAACTCCTAAAACAGTCAAGTTTATCACAAGAACTTGTCTGTTGGTGTAAATCAGAAAGTGAACACAAGAAGAAGAAGAAGAATTACGTTTATTTGTGTATCATAGTAATATAAGGTATAGAGGGTTACATTTAATAGTGTGTATTCTAGTAATGTAAAGTATTATATTGTAAGCTAATATTCTGCAGGGAATATCAAAGCCATGTTCAGTATTACTAGTGCTGGAGACCAGTTTACTTACATGCCTGAAAGACGAGAATGTTGTTACACCCACATCACTGCAGGTAACACTAAATAAGTAAGACATTTGAATCCATTTCTGTTCGCTGCCAGGCTGAAACGTTATTAATCAGTGTAAATTTGTTTCTGATGAGTGTATCAGTGTTATGTTAGTGTTATATTTATAGTATAATATATATTCCACTGCAGGTAAGAATAAAAAATAAGACATTTGAATCCATTTGTGTTTACTGTCACCCTGGAATCTTTTTAATCAGTCTGTGAAATAACCCAGCTATGGGTCACTGCTGGTGTCTACGTATCGCAGGCCAGACATGACAGACACTTTGGACACTGCAAATCCTTCAGGGATCACCCAACAGAATTTAATGATGTTCACGATTTATTAGACACACTTTACAATAATTCATGAGAATTTCAAGGTTTTCTTTTTTTTGCCGAGTGTATTAACATTATACAGACCAAGGACATAAAGATTCTAGATCACAGCCTAAAACAAGTGCAAGAATTTAAATACCTGGGAAGTATCTTTACATCCAATGGTAAAATAGACAGAGAGATTGAAGCAAGAATCCAACAAGCCAACAATGTCGCATACCAGCTTGCCCCAATTTTAAAACACCCTGCTGTCCCAGCTGAGATAAAAAGACAAATTATAAATACAATCTTTATACCGACATTAGGTTATCAATGTCAGACTTGGACATTAACAAAAGAACATGAGAGAAGACTAACCACCTGTGAAATGAGATGTTTGAGAATGGCTGCGAATAAAACCAGAAGAGATCGAGTGAGAAACGATGTGATTACAAGAACTATTGGAACCATACCCATCGTTAAATTTATTGAGAAGCAAAGAATGAAATGGTTTGGTCACCTAATGAGAATGGAACCAACGATGCCAGCATCAAGAGCATACAACATGAAAATCAAAACAACAAGAGGCAGGGGAAGACCAAGAAGAATATGGATTGAAGGAGTCACGGACAACTTGAGACTTCATAACATCACGGCATATGAAGCGACTGAGCGCGCCCTGGCTCGGTTGCCGATCATCTGATAGACTGCGAGGCCTAGCGGCACAAGCAGATTTTGACAAAAGAAGAAGAAGAAGAAGATTAACATTATAATTGGTGTCATATTGAGAGGTAATATGTATGTGTCATTTGGTTTATGTGTACAGTATAGGTATTTAAAGATTCCTGGCAATTGTTGCTGGAGTTATGGAGTTTGTGTATTGTGGAATAATCTCATCAGGCAACCTATCGCCCTCAGGACAAACAACAAGCCAAAAGAGATATAATTTTGTGTGGTAAAATAGATTTCCTTACCCTTAATTTAGTTTAAATATATTGCATGGTATATAGAAGTTATGTTAGGTGTTTTATTGATAGAGAACATGTTTCATTTGTTTCTTCTTATTTTTGATCATCCATGTGATGTAACTGCATTGTGCCTGTTTTACAGCAAAGCTGCAATATTTGTGCCTTTTGGCCGACACATCCGACTTAATCGAGCATTTATTGACTTTGTTAACATTTGTTTAAAAGACTGATATAGTCTTTAGAGCATATTAAAGCCGCAGAAAATGGATTATGCACACTGAGAAAATCTGATAATAATTTAACTAGACAGTGCTTGTGCTGGAATCCACAATGCCAAAGAAATAAAGGCTAACAAAAATACACAGGGAAGGGAATTTGAGAGTGAAGTAAAAACCATTGGGAGGACGTGTGGTTAGCTGCACATGATAGTAAAAGATAGTATACTTAGGAGGATTTGGTTGAGGGCCTATGCTCCATTGGAGGATAAAGAGTAAAAGAAGAAGGTTGACATTAGATAAAATGTTTATAAAGAGAAGACTGGTACTCTGGTAGTCTTAGTTTCAGCTTCATAGCAAACAGGTCGCCCCATCTTTGCTCCACTCCTGTGCCGACAAAAAACACACAGAATGTTTATCACAGTATTAGAATTGCAGTTCATCATTGATGGTAGCAGAAGTCGCCAACAGATCAGCAGTTGCCCACACGATCAATTTTAATCACATACGGGCACCACAACACTGCACGACAGGCATCGCGCCATTTTCTGAATCTACAATTCACACCAACAAGTTGGTCACAGTCGAAAAAACATTCCAAATGCAATCCGCAGCTCACAGGGTCACGCCATGCATTCAACTCAGAAGCTGGGCGACGAAACTATATCCATTCTACAAATGGAGCAAAAATGCATCGGCCACCGTCCGGCAGAAGCAAAAAATTTGCCTCTGTTTCGAACGGCGCCGCTGCCCAACGTCCATTTTAACCGCACAGAGAAGAACATCCTCTTATTTAAAACATTATTTTCATTTCATTTGGATGTTTATACTATTTCTTGTACAGTAGTCCTCACTGAGACATATGTAAGTTGTCGACTTAAAATTATGAGATGTAGACAGTCAGTGTTGTTGTGGACATGTTATGAGAAGGAATGGCCTCAAGAACTTGATAGCAACAGGAAAGATTGATGGATAAATACCTGTAAGGCTTGGCCACACGGATGAGCCAAAACAAGAGCATTGACCTGATCTTTGGTTCTGGTGATCATATGAGATGGCGAAACATGACAGCCTACAATTACAGATGAGGATTTTGCCTTTTTACCTGGAGAATTTTTGGTTTTTTGTTTGGTTTAGGAAAAAGTCTCTTGTCCAAGCAATTGCTGTTTTTGTGCAAGCTGGAACCAACCTTACCACCTTATATCCCTTGGTGTGTAAAGCTGGCACTCTTGTTCCTCTGCCATTTGCTCCTCCTCAGTTTTAATACACTGTAGACAAAATGTGGATGTTCTTGATTTCATCTGTTTGGAACACACAGGCATCTCATGGTTTACTTGATATACCACAGCAGGTAACTTTTGTTGGAGAATGTGTTTTCTGTCTATTCTGTCTCTAATACTCTCCTAATTTTCAGGAATGGCTGAAGATGAACAGCTTTCAGAATGTTCTGTTAGAACCTGACACATCATGTGAGACAGACTGCCAAGAGATTCAGGAGCTAGTTAACTATGAGGTAAAGTGATCTTTCAGACTGTTATATTGACTGTCTGTGGCCATATTTTGAGAAGAGGGAAACTGGCTCATGTTCTAGCCAGTGGAAAGATTTGTGGAAATAGAGACAGGAAGACAATGCAAGATAGCCTTTAGTCACAGCAGGGAGGGGTGTAAAGCACATGGACTGATATATCACATTGGTTATGGAGATGCATAAATCACCCTTGGCTGGATTTATAGTAACTTCAGTTATCCGTGCAAAATAAAAACAGTTTTTTTTTTCCAGTTGTAAATTTAAACAAAGAAAACAACAGATTGCACAATTTATTGTCTGGCTAACTTCACTGTGTCTTGTCAAATGCATACTACAGTAACAGAATAAAATGAAGAGAATAAACACATTCTTTCAATGAAGTGCACGTAATTGACTGAATGTTTTATCAGGGTAAACACAAGTTAACAATCATGACTTTTTTGTCTACATAAACTGGATGAAAATGGCTGTTAGCAACAGCTTTAGTAAATTGAAGCAGAGATGATGTGCTGTTTGTATGTTCTTTGTTGGAGAATATCGCTTTTTTTTCTTTCTATTTTCATACAGATTTCACATTCATTTTCTGCAAATGACAATTAGTGGCTTCTGAGTTTGAGCAGTCACTTCCACAGATTTGACTCTTTCATTTCTTAATTTTTTTTAAATTTAAAATATTACTAGCTAAATAATTAATAAAACTGAAACCGATGTAATAAGACATGTTTGAATGATACTTATATTTGATCAATGTAATTAAATTCTGAGAAAAATTATAGTCCTTATTATGCTGAAATGCTTTGTAGGTTTAGGATAGAAAGTAAATAATAGGTAACAACAGTTATTTCTTTCTATGTTTTGTAGGTAAAGTGTGTTTCCCCAACACTCATTATCTGGTGTAAGTTTGAGTTATCAAATATCTGTTTAAAGTTTAGCACAACTGTATACACATACACACAAACACATGTTTGTATGCTAACATGCACACACCTTCATGGAGAGGGAGAGACAGACATAGAGAAGACCTGATTTAACTTAATTTGATAGTTTATACTTATTTTTTTAGTAGTAGTTTCTTATGAGTCATCTTTGTTTTTTCTAAGTTATTTTAATCAGATTTTTTATTTTCGCTTTCTCAGGGAACTGTCACATCAGCCGACATGGCGTCCTTAGGAATATTTGTTCTTGATGGCAAACTCAGGTAGCAGATTTTACTTAAAGCTAAAGCAGACTTAATCCACTTATATAATCCACTTATATAATCCTCATACAGAACATATGGCATGCCACCTGGTGATAATGAATCCGATGGTGCTGGCAGCCAGAACATACAGCATGAAACTGGAAATACCAAGAGGCAGAGGGAGACCTCAAAGAATGTTGATTACAGGGAGTCACTGACGCGAAGATACCAATTGACTGAGCACATTGTGGCTCAGCTACATATCATGCCTAGCAGAACAAAGTGGAAATTCACAAAAGAAGAAGATGGAATCTTTACTTTTCTGTGCATGTCAAACATGGATAACAAGCAGACAGGCTGGGACACAGCTAATGGCAATGAAAATGTGGTTTATGGAAAATGTCCCCGTCCCCCCCCCCCCCCCCCCCCGACTTTTTTCACACCTCGTCTTCTAAACATATTATTAGGAGAAATAAACTGAAAAGTTAGTGGTCGTTGGTAAACTTAGTGAATGAAGAGCAAGGAGAAAACAAAGAGATAAACACCTGGATGTCTTGGCCACATAAGTGAGGCATGAACATAGGCATGATCCAAGACTGGTGATCATTTCAGATGGTGGACCTGCCACTGTGGGTCCTGGGCCCCATTTATAGGCACTGTTCTCTAAAGGCATGTTGCAGGAGGCGACTAATTTAGGTTTTGCAAACACTGGATGTGTTGGACTGAAAGCATGTATATACTACAGTACAACAAGGCGACAATCCTTTTATAGGCGAGCACAGAAGAAGAAGAAGAAGATGGCTAACCATGACCACATATGCACAGCACAGATTGTAATAATGATGCCCCGTAGTGAACAGCTCAGTAGGGTGGCGTTTAAACAGCAACATTTTATGTGTAAAATCCTGCAACAGGAAGAGGAGCTATACTTGGGATCATTTTGTAACTGCAATTTTGTTGTTTCTCATGACAGACTTGTGACAGCATCAACTTGTATGGCTACAGTTAAAAAACATAGTAGGATCTCTGTGTACAATGCACACATTGTCAAGGTATGTTTGCTGCTAGTATGTCAAGGTCAGTAGTCTCAAAGCTGGGGGCGCGCCTCTCCGTGGGTGGGGAGTATGTAGGCTAGCACTTAGAAGGGCTGTCGGTGTGACAAGAAGAGATCAAATCAGGAATGAAATGACTATGACTGAAACCAGTCATAAAATTCATCAAAGAACCACAAATGAGATGGTTTGGCCACCTGATGAGAATGCCCTGGTACCAACTGCCACAGAGAGCCATGCTGAAGAAATATAATTAACACAGAGCAAGATAAAGACTATGCAAATGAACACCTTGTACCATGCATTGAAAAAAGTGCACAAACAAACCTTACATCTATCCCCAACACCTCGCTGAGGTGAATGGTGGAAGAAAAGAAGAGGAAGTTATTTTATTCATTGACATAAAGTACAATGAGTTTACATTAAAACTAGATCAGTTCAGGCATCTGATTTTGATATAATACTTGATATCTGCCTTTTACAACATATTGTGCATGAATTGTTGGTAAGCCTAGCTGTGATCTCACTCATGTTCTTATGCCTTGATGTGATCTCACTCATATTCTTATGCCTTGATGTGATCTCACTCATGTTCTTATGCCTTGATGTGATCTCACTCATGTTCTTATGCCTTGATGTGATCTCACTCATGTTCTTATGCCTTGATGTGATCTCACTCATGTTCTTATATCCAGGATGATGGCCAGGCTTACTTGGTGTGCTGTATGAGGAGTTGTATCCGTATCCATGAGTCTGTGTCAAGTGTTACAGATTCAATGTCTCATCTTCTGCTGATGAGATCGGAGCTTGTGTGTCTGCAGATGTAGAGGTGGGTCAGTATGAAGCTGTAGTTGTTTGTAAACTGTAAGCTAAATGTTTTGAATGAGACCATGATGCCCAAAATGGCTTCCAGGTAATGTCCTGGACAGTAAAGATGGCCAGAGTGATTATGCCTTGCATCATCTCACTGATATGCTGATTGCCTTGGAGTGATCTCACTCCGCATCACCCACTGAATGTGATTGGACCGGAATGATGTTAATGTGATCACCCACTGAATGCTGATTGGACCGGAATGATGTTGCCCGCATCACCCACTGAATGCTGATTGGACCGGAGTGATCTTGCCCGCATCACCCACTGAATGCTGATTGGACCGGAATGATGTTGCCCGCATCACCCACTGAATGCTGATTGGACCGGAGTGATGTTGCCCGCATCACCCACTGAATGCTGATTGGACCGGAATGATGTTGACCACATCACCCACTGAATGCTGATTGGACTACAAAACATAGGTCTAGCATCTTGTCCTGGAAACTGAAATATCTGAACCGTATCAAAAGTCACTGCAGATTGGAAAGATTAGTATAAAACACATGGCGATCTGAAAGAAACGCAGGGGGCAAACCAGCACAGAAATGGGCGCAGGAATGAATGAATGAATGAATCGGGAATTGACATTACTGCACTCAGGACATTCCCACATGTGCTGCGTCCCCTCCTTTATTAGCCAGCAAAGCGCCAACATGTTGATAGTGATAGTTGCAACCTGATTAACCCTTTCGCTGCTGCGCCCTCCGCCAGCCAACGTAACCACTGTGCTAAGCCCGGCGAGTGCTAATCTTTCCTCTTGTGCTGAATACCTTTTTTCACTCCAAAAGCAGAAGACGCACTTGCGGCGCGGGGTAAAAATTGTACACCTAAAAAAAATGTTTGAAGGCATATTCTTATGCCTTGACCTTTGCGCTGACAAGTATTCTTGCGCTATGGCTACGCCATGAGAACTCATTATCAAAAAGAAAACACTACAATCTACAAGCATAAACAAAAATCTTGAAGTAAGCTCAATACATGGTTTTTTATGCCTTATTAATCACTCATATTTTGTGCCTTGACCTATTTCAAAACAATGTGCGACACACAATGCCAAATCACCATCCTTGCACATGTATCTGGTTCATTGCCCCGTCGTTTCATCGCTTTTTGGCCTGCGCATACCACACACTTTCTTTGCCTTAGGATTTCTGCTGTGATGTTACTTGAAGTGATCTATTGAAGGGAAATGCCTTTGTACTAAACGAAGTGGCAGATCTTCAGTTTTTTGTCCTCCTACACTTGTTCTTTTTTTCCTTGCAATATTTCTGTAGAATTTCTCTCACTAATATTAAGTGAAATTCGACAACAGGAGTGTTTTCCCCCCACAAATGCACAGTACACCAACCACACTTCACAAAGGAACAAGATAACATTTAACGCATCCAAATCCACCTGAACGCAAGTGACAGGATGTTTAATTAATTATTACTTCGTTGATCTGTTGCCAAAAGTGCTAAGAGCTTAAAATTTAAAATAATAAAAAAAAAAAACGGCATGTAGGGGTTGAACGCAGGACCTTTAGTTTGTAAGGCAGACGTGATACCAACAACACTAGAAACTCATATGAAAAGTAGAACTGAAAATAGGACCAGTATTGTACACTTTGATAGACAGACACATTTATGTCAGTTGTATATTAGAAACATTAACGATAGTATTAATCATCATGTCAGTACGTGACCATATCTTTATTTTGATTATTGGGGATCCATTCCAAATCCAGTGGATGAAGATAGCTGGGTCATAGGGTCAGTCTTGCTCACGGCCAGAAGTACACGTGTCCGCTGGCGTGTCGCGAAGATAACCCAGCTCATATAACACACGCTTCAAAGTGATCCTTACGATTAATCATTGAAAGAAACTCCATTAATTCTTCATTAACTTTAATTACCTATTTTCTTGTTATTTTGTATTTAAAAAAAAACAAAACAGTAGACTAACGCACAACCAGAAATATATTTCAGGGCAAAAAAATTACCGTTCACCGACCATGCTTCTATGGTAACAAAGCAACAGGATAATGTGAAATGCATCTAAATACTCCTAAACAAACGTAATATATGTTTTCACTGTATGTAAATGTGTAAGTTTGATCAGATTTAGGTAATGTATATTGCGATTTCACCCCCTAGAATTACGGCTCTTAGCAATATGTAAGAAAAGTCAAAGATGAGTTAGCTCGTCCTTATCAGTGGGGGCTCAGAAAACTGAAGACAAGTTAGCTCGTCCTTAGCAGTCTACCGGGCAGACAAGTTATTTCGTCCATAGCAGTGAAAGGGTTAAAAGTCCGCCTATGTTTCCCCTTCAGTTTTGAATATCTTACAGTACCTCTACACTCCCCTTGTTGAATTAGTCTCTTAGTGTATGAATTTCTTATCTGTTCTTTTGAACCATCGGTTTAATTCCATAGAGCCTTTACCTTATTCGCTTTATCACATAGTAGCCCACAGTCCAGAGGAGCGGCACTAGCTTAACTGTCAGCCTGCTCGTTACCTCGCACATCTTGATATCCTGGACAGAAAATCCATGATATGCTCTTGATCTGGGTCTTATCAAGTGATGCAAGACACTCTGCACGCAGGACACCATTTTCATTTTTCCGAAGCATTACAGCATTTCAGGATGTGCTGCTTTCAAGCCATCTGGAAGCCGCCATTACTGCCTCCACCTCCATTCATTCACAAACTGGATATAGTGATATTATACGTGGGGCTCTGTTTTCAAGCACAGTCCATTTACCTTTGCAATAAAACCCCACTCACTCTTCTTACCTCTCACTGCATACCCATCTGTATTTATTATGATGTCACCTGAGCGTGAATTTTTCTTTGATTAGCTCTTGCACTACTGACTCTGTTTCACCAGCTATCCATTTTTGGCACCCTCGGTCCTAAGTAGCTATCACTATGTGCAAATCTATTTTGCTGGGCGGCACTTTGGCCCATTCTTCACTATGCGCTATCTAGTCAGTAGCACAAACAGTTCTGATTGTGACTTCTACCTCTGCCATCCAAGAGCCACCTCTTTTTAGTGATTGTTCTTTGCTATTCCCTAAGGTCCTATGCAGAAAGTGTTACCCGTCCATTGTGACTTTAAGATACATTTTTTTCAACTGTAACACCTTGTATCTTTCATTTACGGAAGGCGATGCAAGTATGTGCCCCATGAACAATTGGCATGTCTCTCGTGTACACCCCAAAATGACTTGCATGGCTTCACTTTGTATGCGTTCCAACTTTTCTGTTTGGGTGTGAGGTAATGTTAGCAATCCCAAACTATACTTCATCGCCGTAATAATCAGTTGCTGTTAGAGTGCATAGAGAATTTTTTGTTCCATGTCCACCTTCAGATCATTGAGCCCTTTCCCTATCTTTAAATCTCACTCTTCCACATGGTATTTGAAGGACGCTGTCAAAATTAATCCTAGATATTTTAGTGAATAATCGTTCTTTATGTTACTGTCGTTTATTGGGATGTCTGGCAACACATCCCTAACAATTCTATTATTTTAAGAACACCACAGTACTGCTGCCATTTCTGAGTTGATGACCAAGCCTGTTTCCTCACATCACTCATCTACCTTATGTACTGCAATCTGCAGTTCTCTAGATATTTCTATTCTATTACTCCCTAATGTGTAGACTAAGCCATCGTCAGCAAAATTCAAGAATCTCCCTCTACTCACTATCTCTGTTGCTGCAATCCTGCTTGTGTAAACATTGAAAAGCACTGGGAAAATGACAGAACCCTGTGGAAGGCCAGGTGCGGATACTTTATTGTTCAGAGCCCTCAGAACCAGCAGTCTTCTGTTCATACAGGACTTCTGCAATCCAGTCGATGATCCAGGAATTGACCGCAATATCCAGAAGTGTGTACAGTAAAACGTCATATCTAACTCTGTTATATGCATCTTCTAAATCCATTGCCGTCACCATTTTCATGTTTATGCTGAAACCCTTCATATACATTACAAGCCAGGGTCACGGCGGACACAGTAAATAGATGACACCTCGAGTACGACAGTTTTTCCTGCAAAGGACAGTGATGAATATTCAGTGTGGTTTTCGTTGGCACAGGAACGGAGCAACTACCAGGTGACCTGTTTTTTGTGAAGTTGGAACTGCAAGCACCTGATTACCTTGGATATTAAATTTATATGGGGCGGGAGATCTGGTGAGACTGAATTATTGCAGGTGAGCTGTGATAAGAGCGACAATTGGCAAAAAACCTGCTGCATGATGAGCATCATATACCCAGTGCGCCAATGATGTAACAGTGGTCCTTTAGTTGATTAACTTTACAAGACATGTATTACTTATCTGTCTGCCCCCTCCCCCCCCCCCCCCCCCCCCCCACCCTTCTCCAGGCACCTAATTTAAGGTTTGACCACCTGTGAGATTAGAGTAATCTCCTCTTGGATGGCGAGCCAAACAGAGCATATTCCAGATAACCACTCAACCTCCCAAAGAATTAAACCCCACCGTTATACATTTTGGGTATATGGTGCTAGACCTATATTTTATATACACCACTGAGTGGGTGATGTAGTCAGCATCACGCTGGTCACTTTCACTCCTCAGGACTTTACCTGGTACCCATTTTAGGCTGGAGCTAATCAGGAGCCAACATCATTTAAAAAAAGAAATTTGGCTTGATGTAGATTTGAACACATGGCCCCTCCGGCTCTCAGGTGAGCATCTAGCCACTGCACCATGTCAGCCCCATAAAAGAATTATCACTGAGGTTCTTGTTCCGGCTTCACCATCTAGAGTACCTTGCAGTACGGTGAGAGCAGGATGTGTTTTATGCATTACTTGCGTTTCTGCTACTCAAAAAAAAGATCTTTGTTTTGCATTCTTTACATAAAACAGTACACACTATAGAATAAGCATAAATGCCGTCTGTAATACACTTATTTTTTCCTAAATTAATTCTTTTCTATAATTTTTTCCCTTTCACAGGACTCTGTGAACAACAGACTTAGAAATTTTATGAAAAAATTGATAAGAAAATATGGTCTTAATTTGAAAGAGATTCTTGCACTGCAACAGCTGTATAACATTCTGTCTGGACAGGAAAGGTAAAATTCATGGCATCTGCAGGAAATGGTTAACCTACTGCTCTGTTGTTTTGCACATATTGAGTTTGATTGAAGAATATTTTTACCACTGTTTTTACAGTCTTTTGTATACTTTACCACTTTTATAGTCATTAGTATACTTTACCACTGTTAGTTATTACAGTCTTTAGTATACTTTTCAGTCTTTAGTATACTTTACCATTGTTATTAGTCTTTAGTATTCTTTACCACTGTTATTACAGTCTTTAGTATACTTTACCACTGTTATTACAGTCTTTAGTATACTTTACCACTGTTATTACAGTCTTTAGTATACTTTACCACTGTTATTACAGTCTTTAGTATACTTTACCACTGTTATTAGATGTGGCCATCTAGTGAGTATGCAGCCAGACCAGACTGCATGTTAGGCTGTTTACAGAAGAACATCTGGGAGGAAGACCGAGATGAAAGAGATGACTGCATATTAGACTGTTTGGTGTAGACCAAAAAGAGATGGATAAAAAAAGTTGAATAAATCTATCACTCAAGCCACCTGAGAAGCCTTTGACAAATACAGAAAACCACGATACTGGGCTACAACCTGGTATCAGTGGGGTGACAAAAGAAGAAGACAAAGTTACAGTATGCTTACCACTGTTAATGCACTGTGTGCAACATGCTTTACAACTGTTATTACAGTGTTTGCAGTATACTTTACAACTGTTATTTCAGTGTGTGTAGTATAATATACCACTGTTTAAAGTGTGTGCAGTATACTTTGTAACTTTACAGTTTGTGCAGTATATAGTTTACCGCTTACTAAGTGATCTGTATACTTTATTACTTTTAACAGTGTGTTCAGTAGAGCTGTACTGAATAGTGATTTTCACTATTCGGCCGAATACGAATAGTGGGACCAACTATTCGGCCGAATACGAATAGTGTATCATCATCATCAGACACCTTGCCGTCTAGCGTGGGCGATCATGCCCCTCCACAATCTGCTATCTCCTGCAGCATGTATCAGTTTGTGTGCTGACAAACATCCATGCCATGCAACAAGACTGTCAAGAATCTTCTATCGTTGTCTTCCTCTCTCCCATCTTTCACAGATCTTTCCAGTGGTCACCTATTGTTCCATTTTCCCTCTTTGGCTGAAAAATTAGGACTATCTCCTTCTGATGTCTGTGATTAGTTGTCTTCGGCCTCCCGCCTCTTTCAAAACCATAGTTTGCTCGGCCGTTCGTTCAATGTCATTTAAACGCACCTTCACATTCTCGTTAGCAATATCTTCAAATTTGATTTTGGCGAAGACTCCCTGAAAGAACCAAAAAAAATGCATGATCTCTCTCCCTCTTCCTCTCTCTCTCTCTCTCTCTCTCTCTCTCTCTCTCTCTCTCTCTCTCTCTCTCTCTCTCTCTCTCTCTCTCTCTATCACACACACACACAAACACTCACACATGCGCGCGCACACACACAATGCAGTTGGCATTTTATGCAGTTTGTACCATGCAACCGGGTCGCAGTTTCCCCCGCTACGACAGACTTAGGCAACAGCAACTATTGTGTTAATGAGAGAGTTATTTCAGTCCATCGCAGTGTATGCAGAAACTAGAATAAGGTAACCACTATTCGTATTCGGCCCGACCGCAACTATTCGGCAGAATACCGAATAGTTATTAGATCCACTATTCGGCCCCAAAGCGAATACGAAGCGAATATTCGGTACAGCCCTAGTGTTCAGTATACTTTACCACTAATTTAAGTGTGCATTATACTTTACAACTGTTATTTAATTAGTGTGTGCAGTATACTTCACCACTTATTGCAGTGTGTGCAGTATACTTTACAACTGTTATTTAATTAGTGAATGCAGTATACTTTACCACTTATTGCAGTGTGTTCAGTATACTTTACAGCTGTTATTAGTGTGTGCAGTATGCTTTGGAAAAAGCGCACAAACGAATCTTACCTCTCCCCCCAGCACCTCGCTGAGGTAAATGGAGAAAGAGGAGAAGAAGAAGAAGTAGGCTTAATAGCAGTTATTATAGTGGGTGCTGTATGCTTTATCTTGTATTTTGAAGTGTAATCAGTATACTTTATAACTGATTACAGTGTGTCTCATGTGCTTTACACCTTTGTTATGGTGTGCACATAATTCTTTACAAATGTCATCACTAGGGACCAGGTGTGCTTAAAAAAATGATTGTTATGTGTGTATGAGACAGGGTTTTGAATACCAGCATTAGAGGGAAAGTTGGAATAAGACCATGTCTGGATTATATTGATAGACAAAGAATGAAATGGTTTGCAGTTTGCTTTGCAAGTGCCGTTGGAGGTCAAAATGTAAAATATGCCAATGACACAGTTATAATAGGAGAGTCTGAAAGTATTCTTGAAAACATTAAAGACAAGATGGTGGAGGAGAGTGAGAAGAGAGGCTTCTCATTACATTTTAGCAAAACAGAATGATTTATGGTTTTCACGACAGTACACAGTACAGTGTATTTTATTTATAGTAAAGGCAGAATAATAGAATTGGTCAGTGATTTTAGTTATATAGGCTACACAAGGACATCCAGTGGAATGTGTGACACAGATACAGAAAAGAATGTATTTTATTTCCATATCCAGAGATTCTTTACCAGCATGAGTAGTGTCATAAGAAAAAAAAAAAAAAAAACTACAGACATAAACTATGACAGATTCATTTTGTGTGGCTTGGTCTTCGGTGTAAATATGGATGCTGGAAAGTTAATAATGGAGAAGAGTGTTGAAAATATATCGACAAAGGATGTTGAGAATATCATGGACAAAGAAAGTTGAGAATATCTCGACAAAGAATGTTGAGAATATCATGGACAAAGAAAGTTGAGAATATCTCGACAAAGGATGTTGAGAATTTCATAGACAAAACAAAATGTTTAGAATATCTGGACAAAAAAGATGTTGAGAATGTGCCAACCGTTACAGTTTGTTAACCATTATTAAACCAGTGATCAATAATGATTTAAAGAAATTATGAATTTCATTGCTGCTTCGCACTCATCTGTTTCAATCTTTCAAGGGTACAAAAAAAGGTCAAAAAAACTTTTTTCTCAAAATTTTGTAATAAAGTTTATTTTCAAAAGTTTCAGAGCAATTTAGGGCATTTTATCTTATCAGTGTTTTATATGTTGTGACTCTGGTGGTATAAGATGGAGAATTTGATTTTAGCAACATTGTAGGGGAATAATATACTTTTTATTTCTAGATTGTATTTCTTCTCCGAAAGGAAGGGATCACGCCGTTTGCCTTGCCTTGCGAAGGTCGTGGGTTCATTTCACGGCTGCTTCGTTCAGTTCATGAGTGCAATTTTTACCGAGATCCCTGGGGGTCATCACCGGAGCTACGAAGTTTGTTCTTTGTGCAATGCTCTTGGAGAGCGGCTAGTTGTTCTGTGGTGGGAGACTAAGCCATATGGGATTAAACCCGGTTCAATGAAGTCTATCCTCTCGACTTTAACTTTATTGTATTTCTTCTCTCAGTATGTTGAAGAAGTTGAAGTGTGTACCCAAGTAAATTTTGTTAACAAATAAAGTATATAAGTAACATCAGCTTCATTAAAATATCTGATGACATCAGATTTAAAATTCATGACTGCTAATGTCTCCTCCACACCAGACACCACAAGAAGAAGAAGTAGTGTGCTGATCTGGTTTTGAGTTGCACATATTCCCAATGGAAGGAATATTTGTTCTTTATTTATGATATATTATGTATCTGTTTACTCACATTAACAGTATATTTGTTGTATAATTAACTGTTTGCAGATCCGAAAGTTGCAGAGAAAAACTGTTTGCTCAGTTTGTCAAGAGTGACATCTGTGCTAACTTGACATACAGTGGTGTGAATGCCGCAGACTTGTTCATTTTCCATGAACAGTTGTGCCCCTTTAACCAGTCAAAGGTGAAGGTTTTAATTCATTGCTTAAAATGAGTTAAGCTTTATTGTTATCTTTTAAAAAAAAAGGAAGGTTCTTTTCCATGTTGCCTTGATATTCTTTCGTTGTTAATATCTTGCTTGTTCATGCATTTACATTTTTCTGTTAGGGTAAGCACCTTTTCTTCCCTTTGAAGGCTCTGGAGGCCAGAAGTTGTCTCCAGCTCATGGATCTGTATGCTTCTCATACCTCTAGTGATGATTGTGAGACCAGTGTTCTGTATTTTGTCTAGTTTGTGTAGGTTTGATGTGGCTGCAGTGGAGTATGCTCCCATGTCATACTCCAGTTTTGATCGTACGTATCCTGTGTATACTTGTCATACAGTATTGGCATCTGCACCTCAGCTTGTTCCAGTAAATTTCTTCATAAGTCTGAGCCTCAGGGTAGTTTCCTTTGGGTGTCTTCAATGTGGGGGCCCTAGGGTAGTCTTTTGTTGAATTTTACTCCCAAATATGTTGGGTTATCCTCTTTTGGAAGGATGTTGCCTTTTAGGTACAGATCAACTTGTTCTGGCTTTGTGGAAAGAGAGAAGAGAGTTGAGACAGTTTTGTCTGGTTTATTGTGAGTCTATTCATTTCTTAACTGTAATTATAGCTTCCTGCATTCATGTTTTAGTTGTTCCAATATATGTTCAGCTTGGGTCTATATGGTCAGGTCATCTGCATGTAGGGCCTTGTGAATGTGAGTCGTGAACTGTTTTTAGGAGGTCATTGATGACCTTTCAGTTGGGTTTTAGTTAAGTTGTTCGCTATTCTTTGCATGGGGTTGCTATTCATGCGTTTACATTTTTCTGTTGGTGTAAGCACCATTTCCTCCCTTCGATGACTGAAGTTCTGGAGGCTAGAAGTTGCCTCCAGCTTATTGATTGGTTTGCTTCAGTATGAGACATGGAGATTTACTATTGAAATATGAGAAGCCTAAATCCAAGGGAAGGGTACAGGAGTAGGTTCTTAGAATCATAATTACAAACTAAATTGGGAAATCTCATGGAAGGATGTGTGCTCTTTGTTGCAGAAAGAAGAGTCCCGGATACCACAGATCATTGGCCTGAATGCTCTCAAGAATGAAGTCACCAGTATAAAGTCCAACTTTGATTCTACCAGTGTTTTAAATTACCCAGGCATGAAGATCCAATCCTTACCTCATCATTTTAAAGTTTGCTTTTCTAGTGCAAAGGTAAAGTGTTTCAAATGTTAAAATTTGTTGGTATCATTTTCAATATCTCTGACTAGAATGTTGTGTTATACATGTTCATATCACTGAAACTGGACTGTTGTGCTTCTTGTGTGGTTTCAGAGCCCCATTTTGAAAGTTTGAAAATAAAAAAAAAGGGAATGCTGCCCCTTAACTAGCATGTTATGAATGGTGACTTTTGGAGCAGTGGTCTCCAAACCCTTTTCAGGTCGCCCTTATGACCCCTCTGAGTATAATATGGCAATACCCTCACATCCCCCTGCAAATATGATATTGAATATATTTTTAAAATTAAAATTTAGTTTTGATCAATCAGTCAATCTATTGGTGTCACCACAATGAATATTAGCTGCAATGGATCTCAAAAATGCTAAGCCGCCCTGGATATATACTCTCTCAGATTGATGTTTGTCCATCTCTTGGTGTTACCCTCCTACTTGTATCACTCTTGGTTGCTTGTCTTCATCTGATTCCTCTGCTATGGTTTTCATAAGTTTTCTGTCTGTTAATATGGCCAAGAAATTTCACTTTTTTTTTTAATGAGCAGCTTTCTTGTAATTCCTTGTCTTCTCAGATCCTGTGTATTTGATTGGGTTTTCCCCATGAAATACAACCTATTCATCTGTGTTTTCACATCTCTAGAGATTCACCTAAATTTTCTGATTGCTTATTTATACAGTACAGCAGGATTGAGTGGCACAAAGCTTAACAATATGTTTTAATGTGTTGTTTATCTCTTTATATATCAGTAATTTTTGCTTGCTGTTGAAAACCTTTTTTGGGCCACTTCTTTTCTCTTTGACTTCTCTTTGACTTCTATCTTCTATTTCACTTCTGTCATCGTCTACTATTACATGTCCAAAAAAGAAGAAACTCTAGTCTGTAACATTATCTCATTACAGGTTCTTGTCGGGTGCATAATGACATGCTCAGAAGGAACAGTATTTCGAGATAGTACATCAAACTTCCGTCTCGTAATTTTGTCTGACAGTGGTGTCAGTCACGCCGACAGTGATAGTAATCACACAGACCTTGAAATTAAAGGAGATCCTTCAGGATGTTGCAAGGATACAACTGATCAGCACAGTCAGCCTCACTTATGTTGCCAGCGCTGTTTTGGTCACTGTCAACCTGGGAAACAACTGACCTGTCCAGTTTTAGATCCTTGGCTAGTTGGAGCTATCATTTGTGTGACAAAATTTCATGTTGTTCTTGAAGGTGATTTTGATACCAGATCATCAGATGCCTCAAAATCTGGCATAGAGAACAATGGGCATCTTTGCATATACTTGGTTTTTAGCTTGCTTGATTGTGTTTTACTGGATAATGTTGAGAATAGTTCACCAACTCTGGCTGGTTCAGAAAGAGGCCTCATGTCTGATTTACTTCCTGCAAGTCAGTCAACTAATGAAAGGCTAACAAGAAAGGCTAAGCATCAACAAGAATCATCATGCTGTATCTTTGTGCATGAGAAACAGCCTTTGACTTATACAGGAAACATGTTTGACAATGGAAAATTCTGCCAGTTTCAACTTCTTGGCTGTAAGATTGATGTTGACTTGTACACTGAGAATAATATAAGATGTTGTGAAAACACCTGTGTTAGAAGAAAGAAGTCCACATTCACTACAAGCTCAGAACTTGTAGCTGAAAGTCAAAAAAATATATTACAGGATTCACATCAAGAGAGACCAGAATCCATATGTGCTTCTTTCATAAACTCAGCTGCTAAATGGTACAGCTGCTTTACCAGTGGTCATCTGTACAAGCTGACCACCTCCAGCAGTAGTAGCGATCCTGAGCCTTTTAAACAGAAACTGTTGAAAGTCCTTCCACAGAAAGTGACAGAGTGTTATAATGTGCAGATGAATATAGAGGTTCCAGAAGACTTGTTTGTTGAAAGACTTCCTCGGACATCGGATCTTTGCTGTGGGCTTCATGTGGGTGTACTACATTCAATTAGGGAGATCATGTCTGCAAGGTAATGTCGAGTTTGTTAGTGTACTGATCTAGATTTTTCTGAACTTTCTTGAAGAAACACTTCATATAACTGTATATTTAAATCATCATCATCATCATGAAGTTGTCTGGCCAGGATTTTCTGGTGTGCAAGCTAATGAGCAGGCTGATAGGTGTTGCTGCCACTCCTCTGGAGGGTGTGATAAAGTGAACACAGTGACGGCTGTCTGGAAAAAACTGGACAGTGCAACATTCATTTGAATCTTGGGATGTCCTATGAGAAATTGTAAGTCCTTGAGCCATTATCAAAACTGGAGGGTATACCCCTTTCGGACAACACTGTTTAGAGGAGAATTGTTGATATGATCACTGATATTGACATTGTAAAAGTGATAACAAAATCGTGATGTTTCTTGAACGAATTTGATGAATCAACTGATGGGAGTAAGCATGCTGTCCTTATGTAAACAGAAATTGAAGACTTAAGGGAAGATCTTTGTTGCCTCTGCTGACCTTGACAGACCACCAGTTCCAAGACATAAAAACTTTTTATGGATATTTTCAGCCCAGGATGCAAATGCATTGGAGTCTGTAAGGACAGTGCTGCATGCATGACAGGTCGTTGCTCAGGAGTATTTGCAAAAATAAAAGAAGTTGACTACCCAGTATTTTTGACCACTTACTGTATGATCCACAGGAAGCATTTTGCTGGAAAAAAAAAGCTTTAGACAGAACTAAATAGTGTGATGAAAGATCATAAATGAAACTCACAGTTGAACTGTGAACTAGGGGCTGTTTATGACACTGTGTGAGAGCATAAACTCACATCACCAACATCTTCTCCTTCATGCAGAAGTGAGGCGGTTATCACGAAGATGCATTTTTTTAACACTTTTTCAAATTGAAGGAGGAAGTAGAGCAGTTCCCTTGAAAACAGTCCCTAGTAGGACTTTGTTGAATGAGGAAGGGAGAGCTAAGCTCGTGTATATTGTAGCTAGATTTAGCCTCCTTAATGACTTTAAAATTTCTCTTAAGGGCACACTTAGAAATAGAATGGATGCAGTCAAAAAAGGCTGTCTTTATCGTTAAGATATAGAAATATTTTCACTTTTGGGAGAATCTTTTATTTCTATTGATTTTAACCCATAAGCGATTTTCAACATAATAAATCAGCATTTATATGCTTCAGCTAAAAACTTTGGTAGTTATTTTTCTGAAAATTAGGATTCTCATAAAGGCAACCTTTGGATTAATAATCCCTTTTTGGAATTTATAAGATAGCGCACACTTGATCATCGTGAAGAAATTGAGATGTCAGAAATTTGGATATCACTCAAAAAAGAATATCCATCTTTGCATTATAGAGCTATCAAATTGTTGGTCGTTTTTCTAACTTCATATTTACGTGAAAATACTTTCTCATCATGTAAGTAATATACACCAAACATTTTTTTTTTTAGAGTTTCATTAGCTGCCAGTTTCGGTGCGAAACAGTTTCTCCTGTTTTGATGGACCCCATAGAAAGTTTGCGGAACACTGTTCTAAGGGACGGTTTTTTATTTCAGTTCTTACTGCTATAGGTAAAATGTGGCTTAAGCAGAGAGAGATTTGAGAGGATGCCTGTGAAGTATTTACAGCTTATGTGCTACTGGAATAATCATGCCTAAAATGCACTTATGTCAGTCCTTTGTTTATTAGTCAGTGCAAGTCAATAATCTCTTGCTCATCTGTCGACTAACTACTAGTAGAGAGCTAGTATCCACACCCACCGACTTCTGCTTGGCTAGACTATACATAAGTATAAAATCAAATAGTTCTGCTATGTAATTCATGTATCATGTAAGCCTGTCTTCCATCTTACGTAAATTATTTTTTAATAAAAAGATATGTGAATTAGTTTTTCAGAAACTGTTGTGTCATTCAAAGGAATCATTGTTGGCAGATATTGCGAGGCATCTTTTAATTCAAACATGAAAACCAGTGGTAAGTTGTAAGCAACTTTAGCCCTTCAGTTATCAAGTGTGAGATTTGTTGTCTCCTGAAAGAATAACAAACAACCAATAAGTAGAACCAGTCAGCTTTACATTATCACAAACACAAATGACACCTGAATGTTCCAGCTACTAAGCCTTTATTAGCACATTACATAAATTTACTATACCACAAATAAGAATATGAACAGATACAATCAATAAGCTGACTTAGCTGTTATCTTATCGTAGTCAAAATCACTTAGCTGTTATCTTATCGTAGTCAAAATCACTTAGCTGGTGTTGCTATCTTATCTTCGTCAAAATCACTTAGCTGACGTACCTGTTATCTTATTTTATTCAAAATCACTTAGCTGACATAGCTGTTATCGAAATCAAAAATCACTTAGCTGATGTAGCTGTTATCTTATCTTAGTCAAAATGACTTAGTTGATGTAGCTGTTATCTTATCATAGTCAAAATCACTTAGCTGGTGTCGTTATCTTATCATAGTCAAAATCACTTAGCTGTTATCTTAGTCAAAATCACTTAACTATTATCTTATCTTAGTCAATATCACTCAGCTGACATAGCTGTTATCTCCTGGCTGTTTTGAACATCTTAACCTGGCTCACAGAAATACCTGGAACACTTGGAAAATAAAGTCAGAAGTGTTTACAAGTAAACACTTTGTGTAGTGTGTATGTTTAATGACTCTAGTATTTTTTAAATCAGGGATTTGCGAACTGTAATTAAATTTGTGTATTACACCATGTAACCGTTCGTTTAGAATATCACCACTATATACCCATCATCAGGAGGATCTCTTCCTAGCTGGCAAGCCAACAGGTCAAATCCCATATAACCTGTTCCGCCTCTCAAGATGTTTAATTAAGACACCCATAATGGCTACGCCACTTGTTACTTTGTGTATTCTGCAGTCTTGTGTGAATAACAATTATCTTGCAAACATAACATATTTTTAAAAGGAACATTTCAAGTTATTTATTTACAGTCTTTTGTTTAAGCTTTCTACCTACAAAACAAAGATGAAAACAGTAATGTATTCTGCTGTTTATACCTTAGCTTTTTTTTTCCCTTTCTGCATTTTACTTCCTCATTCAGTTTATATGTGAGCGCAAAATCATAACAGAGATTAGATGTTTTCGAAAAGCTGCTGGTTAGTGTCCCTCATTGTTTATGTTGAAAATGGCATAGACATGCTTCGTCTGGTTTTACTTACAGGTTTCATGGTTGTCTTAGCATAAGAGGCCCATTCATATCCACCAGAGTGGTTAATGCAGCATTGATTATACTTGTATCAGCACGTCTATGTTTCTTTAGTGCAGTGGTTGCCAGTTAGCTAAAATCTGTGGGCTCCTCATTTTTAGAGGTCTGGCATGAACTCCAGACTTTTTTAAAGTCATGCTGAAGGACTTATTATAATTTGTAAATATTAAAAACTAAATAAAAACAAAAATTAAAAAAAATTAGATTGCATTTTTATGTGTAAATATCACAGTCCCCTTAAATCTCTTCCATGGACGGTCAAAATTGGAACGACTGGATAGTGCATTACTTGCCATTTGGCCCGCTAGTAGTTTTTCCAGTCTGCCAGATGTGTGTGCATTTGGTGGAGATCAGACATGCAGTGTTTGATAACTAAAACAGTGGTTTGGATTCAATTCTCAGCAAGGGCAGGATTATTTTTTTTTAGATAAGTATGGCTCTGAGGTTGCCTCAGCCTCACAAAAATAGGTACCACAGATTTTGTTTTTTTGAGTCAGAAGAAAAAAATAATAAGGAATTGAATTGGTCTCTCCACTTCATATATCATTGCCTGTATGTCTCAGTTGTTGCTGTCGTCAAGTCATGTGTGTCTAATTCTCTCTGATGGCAGGCAGGATGTCTTCACCAATGATCAACATCAAACTGGAGATTCGAGATATGCTCCCGAACACTGCTGATATCGATTGTGGAAGAACCATCACAGTCTACCTTGATGCTCCGAAGACTGTCTACACATTAGGTCTCGTTCCAGGTGAGTGTCCTCAGGGGTCATGCATAACTTAATCTTAGGATGAAAAAAATTGTTTACCTAGCAGACGTGTTAGAACAGCAGAACAGGCTTAACCTGAAACTCCAAGGAAAAGAAAACATCAGATAACATCAGGTCGTTTATATGTTAACTCCAGAACTGATGACAAAAAGTAAATCTATGAGACATTGCCGTGTTTGAGAAACTGCACAGTGGTAGACAAATCTGAAATTCAAAACAACGGTAATTTGGTAGAAATTTTGACTGGGCATTTAGGTTCCCTCTAAACGAACCCAAATATTTTTTCCCCCGGGCTGACAGAAAAACAAGCTACACTGGTGTGAATTTCATTTTCTGCTTCCCTTGATGTTGCCAGCGACCCCGACAAAGTACAGGATGAATCAGTGAATCTGCCAAACCATTCCTCAGCACACAGCTTATTTGATAAAAAAACTGCTGACTTAATTCTATTATCAGTCATAACTAAATTTCACCACGCTTGCATTTCAAGCTTTATCTCCCTTTGTTTCTATATTATAGCTCTTCTTAAGAGTGGATTTTAAAGTGCAAATTTTGAAGCTTGAAAATTAATTATAGTTTCAGTCATCACATTATGTGTGTGGTAAGTCAATATTATTTTATATTATACTGAAAAAAATGTTTTGTATCTGTGTGTGTATGTGTTGTGTTTGTGATGGAGTGTATGTGCTTCAATATGTTGTGTCTGTGAGTTTTGTGTTGTGTCTATTTGTGCTGTGTCTGTGAATGTTGTGCTTGTGTTGAGTCTGTGTTTATTTATTGTATCTGTTGGTTGTGCTTTCTTTATATGATGTGTTGTGAGTACGTATGCTTGTGTATGTTGTTTTAGGGCTGTGTCTGTGATTGTATCTATGCTTTTTTATTTTGTGAATGTGTTGTCAGTGTATGCACCTGTATGTGTGTGTGTGTTATGAAAGTGTGTGCATGAGTGTCTGCTGTGTGTGAGTATTTGTGCATGTATATTTGGCGGTTTCCATTTGCCACCCATGCTTTTGTATTTTTTACTTTACTTTCATAAAATGTGTTTTATTTATAAAATAAACTGCTTTAGAAATAAAGTTTGTTCATTCTATAAAATTGGGCAGACTTATTAAAAAAAAAAAAACTGTTTTAAAGCATACAAAACTCACTTTTCAATGTCATGGATAGGTGCGGTGGTCAATTTGCATAGAGTGGAGAGGAAAGTTTCCAGAGCTGGCAATGTCTACTGTCGATTTATTGCTGTCTCTCTGGCGGAGGTGGTGCAGTTTCTGGATCTAGGAGATGCTGCCAGGTTGGATCATTTGTAATACATTCATACATTGAGTAGTTTGTTTTTGTTTTTTTATCTCATAAATTTTTAAAAGTTTCTTTTCTTCTTCTTCTTCTTCTTGTTCACCAATTGGAAAGTTCTGGTTGTTCGTCCACTTCTGGACTGCAGTCCTGTTCCAGACTTGAGTGTTGCATGTGCATCTGTTTGACAGATCTGACTAATTTGTATGCAGACTGTTGGTTCCTTACCTCTCAAGCTGATGCACCCCGACTTTGTTTTGTCTGATATGAAATTGCCTGTGGATTTCACAACTTCATTTTTGTGGAATAAGGAATGTATTCACTGCCTCTTAACAAACATGTAGTAAAGAGTATCTGATTAAGGGTTTACTGAAATCAAATGTGCCGACCAAAAGGCACAAATATCCCAAGTCCGTATGAAAACCACAATACAATATGGCAAACACCCTTTCAAAAGGCAACCCAGAACAAATAATTTCAAACATTGACTTAATCTTTTTTAACTTATGTCTTGATTTTTCAGTGGCAGATGTACCAGTTCACAGACCCCGACTGTCAACATGGACAGTTTACCCAGGGAGTTACTGTTTAACATGAGACAGTATTCTACTGAGGATAGGCACACAGAGAAGCGAATGTTCCTCATCAGTTGTCACATTGAGAAAATATTTAGTCTACGCATTAAGACTGTGTGCTCATCATGCAAGAGTATTTTTTCCAAGACTGGCTGCCAGAGCAGAGACTGCAGCAGTGCAACTTGGCCAGTAACTGTGGCCAGTACAGTGTGAGTTGCATCTTTTTTCTTATGATCCATGTTATGGGGAATCTGCCGTCATATCTATCCACATTTTTTTTTCTCATATGCCACTGATCATTTGTGAGACATATAAGTGCACTTACTGTGGCGGCCATGGTTTAGGTGTTGTGAGTCGGACTCGTAATTCCAACATACCACTAACAAAACCCACTGCTGGCTGCGTGGATTTTTATCGCGGTATGGGGCGTCGCAGGTCGACCCAGCCTGAAATGGATGCTAGGATGGATATCCTGGGGAAGTAAAGATGGCCGGAGTAATGCTGACCACATTACCCACCTAGCGCTGATTAGGCTGTAAAAATATGTGGTGCTCTTCGCATATTCCCGATACGCCTAAAGGCGTGAAAAGGGATCTTTACTAAAAGTGCCCTTACATCATATTGTCACCATTATTGAGACATCCAGACATAACTATGCATGCACACAAAAAACACCATATAAACATCATATTTATGCCAATATTGAGTTACTAATGCCAGACATAGAAACCATCTGAAGTCCATAAAAACGAAATCGCCACCTGCAAGATTAGATACCCGAGAAAAGCTGCGAACCTAATCATTCGAGGTCGAGTAAATAATGACACTATTAGACATATTTTGGGAACAACACCTTATACTAGATTCATCAAGCAACAGAAGATTAAGTGGTTTTGGCCATCTCATTAGAATGCAGCAACACATAATACCATCACAGGCACTACATCTCAGAAGATCACCTGCAAGAGGGTGGCCACAGGAAAGATGGATTGAAAACATTAAAGACACTATGTGCCTTCACAGCATCGCAGTATCCACTAGATCACAAATTATTTCTCCCAGTGTTGTCTAATGGCAGAAATAGTTTATTATGATGATATTCTTTCATGCCATGAAGCCAAACTGTCCAGTCTCCTCTCTGTTTGTCTCCTATTGTCTGTGTAGGTAGCATGTGCATGCATGTATGTGCACACATACATGTGCACACATACATGTGTATATCTTCCTATGTAGTACCCTTTTCCTGTATCGCATGTGTCTCAAGAGTTTCTACTGTCAAAATTTGCCTTTTATTTCTGTGAGAGACCTCTACTTACAAATAAGTGATTATTTTCATAGTTGTTGTTGTTGGTATTATTGTTTGTAATAGCCCCTTTGTTAAATACTGATGACATTGTTCAGGCACAACAGGCATTTGACATTCGTAATAATGTGAAGCTAACTAGTTCTGCTTCTTGTTTGGATTTATATCTTTTCATGGAACAGTCAAACCTTGTTAACATCAACTCTCTTAAGATAAACATCTGATTAGTGTGAACACAGTTTTCAAGGAGGGGTGTATTAGCAAACAATTTTTTTTAGATACAAACACTTTACCTTTCGGTCCCTTGGAATTCCTGTAAACCAGTGGTCTCCAACCTTTTTCAGGTTGGACTCCCACGAGTATAAGGCATCCCCCCCCCCCCCCCCACCCCTTAGAAAAAAATGTGATTTTAAAGATTTGGACAATAGATTCTGCAGCAAGACAAACAGAAAGTATGGAGATAAAGTTTTGGTCAGAATGTGTTCCTAATTTATGATTAAATGTGCGTGTTATCAGATTTAAAAGATTTTCAACAGTAGATGTATTACTGCTCATGACAAAAACATTTCCTTATTTTGTGGTTTTTAATAATATAATATTTGTAATGAAACTTAAACAAATTGTAAGTAAAATGGATCACTACAAGTACATATGCGCTCACATTCAAAATTGTTTGACACTCCTCTTAAATCCTTCTTGTGCCCCCCTCAGAGACCATTGGTGTAGACAGTTTTGCTGTATTTATATTAACGCAGATAACCAATTCTCTTGGTGAGCTAATATCATTCAAGACATCTCTAAAACTTTGTGTGTGTGTGTTACATTTGATATACTGTGCTCTAACATTCTCTAAAACCAGATGTCAGTGACTCCACAAAATCTATACCTGCATATAAAATGTTAAAGTTGTTAAAACTTAAAGTTGGAGTTTGAATTTAATTTTACATCTTTTGCTACCAGACTGCTAGTGAACGATGGTACTTGTCCAGCAACTGTAAAAATCTGGGACTCAAATCTTATTTGTCGTCTGCTGACTTTGACACAATCTCAGTGGGAGGATCTGGTTACTGAGGTCACGAGTCATGGGGAAGTGGTTCTTGATAATGTGAGTTGTAGAAAATTGTCTTGTTTTATGTGATGATTTCTGCTTTATTTTTAACCTTTTTGCCCCAAGTAGCTGCAAAACTGACACTTCTGGTTGGGTCCAGTTCCCCGTAAATGTCACTTTTCCTACTTGTGTGCAGTGACTTAGTTACGAGAATCATATTTAATGTTATTGGCTGTTTTCACGCCTGCTCAAACAATGAGAGGTCAGGATTTAAATGCATTAACTAACAATAGCATTTGCTGAGGGGTTTAACCTTTTTAGCCAGATAACTTTTTTAAAGCCTAGTTGACATCATTTTCTTATGAGCCTCAGTGATAGAGGTCATGAGGTCACAGCATAAACCACAGTGATAGAGGTCACGAGGTCACAGCATAAGCAACAGTCATAAAGATCACGAGGTCACAGCATAAACCTCAATAATAGAAGTAACTAGGTCACAGCATAAGCCACAGTGATAGAGGTCATGAGGTCGCAGCATAAGCCACAGTGACAGAGGTTACGAGGTCACAGCATAAGCCACAGTCATAGAGGTCATGAGGTCACAGCATAAACTACAGTCATAGAATTCACTAGGTCGCAGCATAAGCCACAGTGATATAGGTCACAAGGTCGCAGCATAAGCCACAGTGATAGATGTCACAAGGTCACAGCATAAACCACAGAGATAGAGGTCACAGCATAAACCACAGAGATAGAGGTCACAGTATAAGTTACCTAAAACATGTATAATACTTGAAAAAAATTTTACCGTGACTTTTTGATTTTTACCTCGTGACCCAGCCACCAGCTACCACTGGAACTAACAGGAAATTCTGGGATTCTGGTGTTTTAATTGCTGTGAGTAAAGACATTTTTTTCCAAAAGGAAATGGCCACCCAGATGCAATTTTTAGCAGTTATGCTGGTTCCTGGTCATTTGAAAAGTTGCCCAGGAAAATTCAAAAGCAGTGCTGTTAGCAGGGCTCCTCGCAAACAAGCCCAGAAAGAGACATTTATGGGGCCGTGGCACAGTTTGGAAGTGCCAGGTTTTGTGTTTCTTGGATTTACACAGATTTAACCAGAAGCTTAGCTATCTATAACTCACACCCAAAGTGAAAGCATAGAAAAGACGAAGTCACCAACAGTACATGTTGTTAGGGATGGGAAAGGTTTAAGCATAAGACTGGCTGCATTATCATCATCATCATCATCATCATCATATAATAGCTGTTAATCCCTTGCTGTTAGCATAATTCAAAATTATTGTGGTAGCCAAAAGTTCAAGACCCCCAGTTAAATAAATAGTTTTCTATGATGTTGTGGAGTATCGCATCCACTGCTATTCTAGGGCCTACCGAAGGCAGTAACTGTACTTATGGTTGTGTTGTAAAATATCAGTTGATAAATATTCGCTAATAGTATGAAAATATAATTTTTTTCGCAGGTGGTTTTAAACACTTGTAACAACTGTTGCAGATTTCATAACAATGAAGACCGAAATTGTCCTCCCTTCATTTGCCAGATTAGTGCATGCCAGGATGTCCAACAATGAGAGGTGTTGGTCAGTATGAATCCCATCATTGGCACACAGGAATCTCATCACTGTATATTATCTCATCAACTTAAAAAAAAGCATTACTTTATTCACATTCATTCTTCTTTTCCACTCCATGTTTTCCAGTCATCACCGCCCACATCAAGCATCTCCACTTTCCTTCAAGAACTGATATCCTCACCCCTAGTTCTACGGCCGTGCATGATGGCTGTCAGAATATACAGGGGAAGTGTGTCTTCAGTTGTGGATAAAATGCGACTGGAAGGTTGGTACCAGTATTTCACCAGGAATACTTTTATGTTTACAATTTATCCACCTGGCCATCAAGTGACTTAGATGTTCAGCTTCTAGTGCTCTGTAGAAAATTATGTTATTTGTTATTGTTAGAGTTCACTGGCAGAAAGTTCTGGTTTTTTGTGCACTTCTGGACTTCAGTCTTGTTCCAGAACGTGAGGTTTTCTTCGACATCATGTTACAGATTGACTTTTTAATATGCAGACTTTTGGTTCCTTGCCTGTCAGGCAGATGCACTCCAACTTCAAAAGTAACACCCCTAATTAGTCACCTTTTATGGCATGCTTGTTGGAAAAGGGGGGGGGGTGGGGGTGGGACAGTGGGACTATTCTTATTTTTTCCCAAAACTTCACCCTGGAACCCAGACAAAGATGTTGGGTCTGATTTCACATACTGAAAACTGTTTAAATACCTAAATTGATGAACTGCCACCACCCCCCCTCCCCTCTACAACATTCCCTCTCTCTCTCTCTCTCTCTCTCTCTCTCTGTGTCCCTCTCTCTCTCTCTGTTTATCTCTCTCTCCCTCTCTCTCTGTTTATCTCTCTCTCTCTCTCTCTCTCTCTCTCTTTCTCTCTCTCTCTTTCTCATTCTGTTGATTGATTGCCTGACAGCCTGCACATTTTCTTTTATCTATAGTTTATGCAGGAAACTGTTACATAGAAGCACAGGATACATAGTAAGATGTATGTGTATAGCTTCAACAGCTGGGCAACAAATAATACTATACGTCAGCTTAATTAAAATGTCAGTTGAGAGAAAATGGCAAGTCATAATTGCTAACATCTGTCCCAGACTAGGCACATGATAAAGAAATTATTTACCAAGCCTGTACCTTTACTTTTGAAATTAATAACAGGTTGTCCTTCAAAGACAAGCCAAACCTTTTTCACTGTCTTTTTTTAAAAGCTTTTTAAAGTTCTCCTTTGTATGTTTGTATTTCTGTTCAAGCCTTTGCTTTTCGTTTTTAAACTATTTCCTCATAAGCTATCAAGCTCACATTTTGCCCGCACAAGCTTTGTGGATGACAATGCAGTGAGGAGCAAAAATGTATTGTATGGTTTAACGGAAATACAAGAATAATTCAGTTTCTACAAAATTCATCTATATACCACAACTAACAAAAGTTTAGGTGCCTAACTAACAATATACAATCCTCGACTTGATGTGTCAAAAGTATAAGCTATTACAGTTGAGTTTACTTAAGTTGAACTCGGATAAGTTGAATTTTGGTTAAGTTGACAACAGCTTGGTCCCTGCAATTTTCTCTATTGTAAGTGCTGTCCGGATAAGTAGAAATCCTGATAAATGGAAGCATTTTCTTAGCTCCCTGCGACTTTTACCTATCCAGACCCGACTGTATCTCTATACATTTGATTCAGTTGTTTTTCATCTATACATATGATCATCAAGTGCCATGCCAACTGGCATAGGCGATCATGCCTCTCCACAGTATGTGATCCCCTTCTGCGTGTATCAGTTCATGTGTTGACACCCCTTCAAAACATGATAAAAAACTTTCAAGAATCTTCTCGCGCTGTCTTCCTCTTTCTTTCTTTCCACAAATCTTTCCTGTTGTCAAAACATGTTCCAGTTTCTCTCTTCTCATAACATGTCCAAAACAGTGATGCCTGTCTCTTTCTGATGTTTGTGCTAAGTTGTCTTTGAGCCCTCCTCTCTTTCAAAACATCCGGGTTGTTATTTTTAGCTGTTCAAGGAATTTTAAGGATTCTTCTGTAAAATCACATTTCCCATGCCTCAAGATATTGTTCGGTCTGTTTATTAACTGTCCAGGATTCACAACCTATGTTAATACTGGCTCTGTATAGTATGCAAGAATTCTGTTCCTGACCTCCAGTGACATGGATTTTTTGCATAAAATATTCTTTGTTTTAGAAAATACAGTTCTGGCCCATCCTATTCTATTCTTTATCTCTGTGATATATCTTCCGTCAGATGTTATCCGTGTGCCCAGATATTTAAATTTGTTTACTTGTCCTAAAATAACGCCTCTGACTTTGATTATACATTTAGGCACTATTCTTTTCTTGGAAATCACCACTACTTCTGTTTTCCCATTATTCAAACTGAGGCCCATTTTATCACTTTCTACCTCCACCATAACTATCAATTCCTGTAATTGTTGTTGACTTGTCGCTATCAAGGTGGTTTTATCAGCGTCACACAGGTTGTTTATGTTATGACCACCAACCACAGTTCCTGGCATTACCAATGAAAGATATCATTTTATATTCACTGTATAATGAGAACGAATCTGACGATAGTATGCATCCTTGTCTTACTTCCCTCTTTATGCTCCGAAATATTCCGGAATGGTTATTATTAAAATTATAGCTGCTGTTTGCTGCCAGTACATGTTCTTTATAATTCATACATCTTTTCATCATTCTTTAACTTTTTTCCAGTAATTTGATTATTTCTTCATGTTTCATACAATTAAATGCTCTCGTTTAGTCAGTGAGGCGTAATTGAAGATCATTTTTTACTTCTTTAGCTCCTTCAACAGAGTTCTGAGGATGTATATGGCATTCTTTGTACTGTACCTTTTCCTTCTACAAATCCTCATTCTTCTTCATTAATTTCTAGTTTAATCTTGTTCTTTTATTCTTTTCATATTTATTCTCAGTAACATTTTTGTCACATAATACATATACTATGTTGTTACATCTATATTACCATCAAGTGCACTGCATGTATTTATTAGTCATGATGTTAAATTGTAGATGACTATCATTATAAAGAGTGGGTCTGTCTCTACAAAATTCATAAGCTAATAACATTATAATACATCAGCTTCATCAATATGTAAAGTGAGAGAAAATGGTGAGTCATAATTGCTAACAGTTGTATGTCCTTTAAACTATGTGATAAATTATTGTTGTCTTTTTCACCGCATTAATTATGTGATGTGTTTTAAATAAAAGCTTATTTTATAAAGGTTTTTTTTAAAAATTGACTTTAAGCAACTCATTGTCCTTTAGCAAAATACATCACTAAGTGATGTGGGAAAAGTAATTGATCAATGTTTACTCAGTGAATGCTATAATTTTAGACCAATCAATACTTTGTGAGTGATGTGGTCAATAACATTAAGCAGCCTTTACTTCGCAGTTGATATTTTGGTACCCATTTTAGGTTAGATCGAACTGGTAAGCTCGTTGAATAGAAAAGCCCTCCCTAGCAAGAAGTTCCACACACAACCACTGTCAGGTAAACGTACTAGCAGCTGCTCACTGTTAGTATGCAAGTCCACTTTAAATTCTTTGTCATTACTAATTTATACCATATTTTTCCAGATTTTCAAGAAAATGAAGTCAAAGTTGGCAAGCATTATCTGAAGACACTGTCTCTTCCAAGGATGCAGTTGGACTGTTTGTCCATATCAGAAATACGGTGATTGGATCAATCTGCTGCTTGCTTGCTTTGTGTTCTTGTTTTTTACGACAAAGAAGTGATATTTTAATAATAGTTAAAAAGAGTACATGGCTGATGATGGTCATTTTTAAACTGCCCATCTTTATTTAACAGAATGTTTCCTGGTAATATTTAACTGACCATCTTTATTTAACAGAATGTTTCCTGGTAATATTTAACTGACCATCTTTATTTAACAGAATGTTTCCTGGTAATATTTAATGACTGGGCTGATCTGGGAGCCCAGGCATTCATTTCAGTTTCTAGCACCAAATTTTTAGACATTATTATATTTTTGTGTATACACATGTGACATGCTATCATATATGCCACTATGTACTCCTTGTGTGAGTTCCTCGGTCCCATTGTTGGAGAAAAGAAGAATAGATTCACTAACTCCCTTGACAAGCACGTTATAAGGGGTGAATAATTAAGAGTTTGCTAAAGTCAAATGTGCTGGGCCAAAGGTGCAAATATTGCAGCTTAACTGTAAACAGCACATTATGTCGACCATCCTTTTAAGGGCAAACACAGAGGGAGAAGAAATGTGCCCTTTAGCACACGGACTGCACACTAGTGATTGGAATAAATACTATATTATTTGTACAACACTATATGTGGTTACATGATGCACTTTTTGTGTGAATTTAGATGTGCTTGTATATTTATATTATTTTAAAATGCTTTTGCGAAGACCCTTATCTACAACTTCTACCACAACTAATGAAGGATGCAACTCACCCTCAAACAAGTGATACTTAGCTAGGTTCTTAAGCTTCACAGACATTCCAATCTACAGACGTAGAATGCTCTCAAAAAGTTGATTGGTTGGAAGGCTTTTAAATGACTTAAGTTGTAATTTGTGAGTATTGTGCACTTATGTTCAAGTCACCCGAACCAGGAAAATGACTTGCATCTGTAGCAGAGTTATTCAAATAAATGTGCTCCTACGGCCAAAATGTTGCAAATGGAGATCCCCAGGGGTCAGAGGTTAGAGCCCAAGCATAGAGGGATCAGTTCTATTCAGCTTTTTTTAGTGTGAACTTCAATGTCTTTTGTAACTCAGCCATATGTAAAGTTTGGCTTCAGCTGGTATTTCTCTGGACCAGAATTTTGCCTTGATAAGTTGTATTTGGGACAGTCTTGGAGGACTTGATCTGTTGTCTTAGGTGCCAGTCCATGTGTGCACATGGCTAATTCGCCAGTCTGAAATTTGTGAACATGTGGATGCAAAGTCAGTTTATAAATGACACTCTCTAAATGACATCTAGTTGTACTACTACTATTTATCACAAGCACTAAGGAAAAATACACTGCAAGGTGCGACAACTTACGATTATACATGTCCTTCATGTCATTTATCAGATTTCTACTGTCTTACATAAAATAAGCTGTTATCAAATCTAAAATTTTTGTACCATCCACTCTGGGCTAGTTGCTGACATAAGCACATCTGTCCATATCACACTAGGTCCTCTCACAACAAAATCCCTGAGTCTCTTTCTTTGATTATATATATATATATATATATATATATATATATATATATATATATATATATATATATATATATATATATATATATATTCTTAGCGCACGCGCGCACATTCACACACACGCACGCACGCACACACACAAATAGAGTGTTCATTTGATATTATTCACAAATCCACTTCATTCCTATGTTTTTTCTACCGCTCACACACCTGAACAATCATGGTCATGTCCTACTTTGTCTAATATGGTCATGTCCTACTTTGTCTAATATGGTAATGTCCTACTTTGTCTAATATGGTCATGTCCTACTTTGTCTAATATGATCATGTCCTACTTTGTCTAATATGGTCATGTCTTTCTTTGTCTAATATGGTCATGTCCTTCTTTGTCTAATATGGTCATGTCCTTCTTTGTCTAATATGGTCATGTCCTACTTTGTCTAATATGGTCATGTCCTATTTTGTCTAATATGGTCATGTCCTATTTTGTCTAATATGGTCATGTCCTTCTTTGTCTAATATGTTCATGTCCTACTTTGTCTAATATGGTCATGTCCTACTTTGTCTAATATGGTCATTTCCTACTTTGTCTAATATGGCAATGTCCTACTTTGTCTAATATGGTCATGTCCTACTTTGTCTAATATGATCATGTCCTACTTTGTCTAATATGATCATGTCCTACTTTGTCTAATATGGTCATGTCTTTTTTTGTCTAATATGATCATGTCCTACTTTGTCTAATATGGTCATGTCCTACTTTGTCTAATATGGTCATGTCCTACTTTGTCTAATATGTTCATGTCCTACTTTGTCTAATATGATAAGGTCCTACTTTGTCTAATATGGTCATGTCCTATTTTGTCTAATATGTTCATGTCCTACTTTGTCTAATATGATCATGTCCTACTTTGTCTAATATGGATATGTCCTTCTTTGTCTAATATGTTCATGTCCTACTTTGTCTAATATGTTCATGTCCTACTTTGTCTAATATGGTCATTTCCTACTTTGTCTAATATGGTAATGTCCTACTTTGTCTAATATGGTCATGTCCTACTTTGTCTAATATGATCATGTCCTACTTTGTCTAATATGGTCATGTCTTTCTTTGTCTAATATGGTCATGTCTTACTTTGTCTAATATGGTCATGTCCTACTTTGTCTAATATGGTCATGTCCTACTTTGTCTAATATGTTCATGTCCTACTTTGTCTAATATGATCATGTCCTACTTTGTCTAATATGGTCATGTCCTATTTTGTCTAATATGTTCATGTCCTACTTTGTCTAATATGATCATGTCCTACTTTGTCTAATATGGTCATGTCCTATTTTGTCTAATATGTTCATGTCCTACTTTGTCTAAAATGATCATGTCCTACTTTGTCTAATATGTTCATGTCCTACTTTGTCTAATATGGTAATGTCCTACTTTGTCTAATATGGTCATGTCCTACTTTGTCTAATATGGTCATGTCCTACTTTGTCTAATATGTTCATGTCCTACTTTGTCTAATATGGTCATGTCCTACTTTGTCTAATATGTTCATGTCCTACTTTGTCTAATATGGTCATGTCCGACTTTGTTTAATATGGTCATGTCCTATTTTATCTAATATGGTCATGTCCGAATTTGTCTAATATGGTCATGTCCTATTTTGTCTAATATGGTCATGTTCTTCTTTGTCAGAGTTTTTCTGTCTGGCCTACTCATTGAATATATAAATTGGGGTTTTCTCTGACCTCTAACAGTAATCCCTGAAATTGACTTATTCCACTGGAGATTGCCACTGGAGCTATGGGGTTCATGCTTTGTGCAGTGCTCTCAGCAGGCAGCTAGCCATTCTTTGGAGAGAGACTAAGCCATATGGAATAAATGAGTGCAATGAAGTTAATTAATCCTTTGGGCTGTAAGTTTAACTGGTATTGGGATATGACATGACTTTAGTGATGGCTGTCACAGCAAGCAGGACAAATCATCATGTTACTTATGCCCATCTCTAGTTAGTTGTTTCCTCACTTGTAACAGTTGCTGCATTTCAATAAATCTCTTGTGTGATTTACCTTTGTTAGTTAGTTAGTTAGTTGGGTTATCCTCATTGCACTCCGGACATATCCATAGGTGCTCAGATCCTCCCCTCAGTATGAACCCCAACTTTCGATGGCTAATAGTACCAGTTCTATGTTGATTAACAAGTCTTCTGGCGTAGCTGGTGTGCGTCTCGTTTTTTGCTGTGCCGATCTTAATTCCCAAGTCTGCCATTCTGGCGAGTGATGTGGATTCACTGCCACCAAAGTCCTCTATTCTTCCCATTTCTCTGAGGGCATTGATAATATCAGCATGATCCATAGGCTGACCGTCGGTAGTGATAGCGGATCCAGCCAACCTGTCAGCTCTTTAATTTCCATCGACGCCTGCGTGTCCCGGAACAAAAATAAAGGTGACTCCACGAACAGTGGACTTCTGTAATGATTCAAGCCATTGTCTTCGCACTGAACCTGCCTGAACCCTCCGGATCATACTCATTGAATCACTGAGTATACACACGCGGGTGTATTTTTGTGTTTCAAGCCAGGCAAGCGCTTGTGTCACTGCCATCACCTCCATCGTCATGCTGCTGGTTGTCATGGAGAAGGCGCCGTTGGCTTCTTTGACTGTTCTGCCCGCTGAGCGTGCTGTAAATGCCCATGCGCTTCTTCTTTGGCGTATAACGGATCCGTCTGTATAGATTATTGCATCTGCTTTCGCTGAATTTTCACCGATGAGAGCATTGACCTCTGCATTAACAGCAACAGGATTCTCTTCTCTACATCGCCTGTTGAGTGTGACAATACAGGAAAATGTACAAATAAACGCCTGAGGCACAGGTATCCATTCTGCACCAGGTATGATGTCGGTTAGGCTGCATATTTGCCTAATGACATCTTCTGCCCGACCTAGCCACGATTTCCCCCTCTTCAGTCTGTCGCCCTTTTCACTAAAAAGCGCTTGATGCAGTGGGTGTTTCTTATCAGCGCATATTTTGAGATATGCCCGAGCACTCCACATCCTGATCCTTTGGTTCATTGTTGGAAAGTCAAGTAGATACCTCATTGCTCCACAGGATGTGTCTCTAGTACATCCCAAAATAATGCGCATGGCTTCATTTTGCACCTTTTCGAGTCGTTCAATCTGGGTAGCACTGACAGTGAGGATGGCCAGAGCGTATTCTATGGGGGAAAGGACCAGACCGTAGAATAGAAGTATTAGTAGTCTTTGCTCAATATTGGAAGCAGCCATAATCCTCATTGCAGATAGACCTTTGCGTGCTTTTGTTATCACATGGTCAACGTGTTCCCTGAATGACAAGCTGCGATCGAACCTCACCCCGAGAAACGTCATAACGTTGGTTCTGATCAATGCATTATCACGCATTTTCACTTCTGGTAAGTCCGACTTGACAATGTGATTGTTCAAAGAGAACCATGACACTGATGCCTTCGA